GCGCTCGGGCCCCACAACACGGGGCGCGCGTGGCGCAGGGCCCCGGGTCGTGCCCGATGCCGCCTTCGCACTTGGCCGGGGCCGTGGAGGGGGCGGCGAGTGTAGTCGCCTCTTGGGAGGCCCAAGAGGCCGCACGCACTCGAGTTCAACCAGCCTTGGTGATCGCTGGAAGGGCGCAGGCCTGCAGGGTTATCGCGGCTCAGGAGGTGCCTGCCGTAAGGTGGGAGTGGGCGAGGTTGCTGGGTACGTATATCCGTGTGCCCCGTTCACCTTGCCCCTCTGGGGCGCGTTCATCTGGTCCCTTTAGCTGCGAGGGAGACACTGTCCTCACAGAGGATTTTGTTTGTGGTGTTGGGGAAGATACGGTTCAAAACACATCAGATCTGTTCATCTGAGTTAAGCCTCTCAGTCTGTTACGTTTTGGAGCCAATCTGGTATTTCTAAAGCTGTCCTCATTTCCTTGCATCAGATAACGCAAATTACTTATCTCTCCCTTTCTTATTTACGGTAATTTCTGACTCGTTGCTCTTGAATGCCGCTGCTTCTGTCCTTACACACAAGCTGCTAATTCACAATGCCATGTCTCAGCAGTAGTGTTCACACAGAGTCTAATTAAGTTACATCAAAGATCAATGAAATAAAATGTCTTATGTTAATGCATTATTCACATTCCATTATTAAATATTTTTGTGTTTTTACACAAATATGTAAAAAAGGCACGTACATGTATACATTTCTACAATTTCCTGTGGAGAAATTGAGTTTGGCTATTTAAAGTCGGTGAAAGTTTATGCTTCGTAATTATATACCATACCTCAGGTTTATGGTGCCTTTGCAGTTGACACCCCAGAAATGAATAATACTACCTAAGGGTTTCATAGTATTTTTGATAAAACTTCTGAAGGTGTTTCCCACCAAGCACTGCAGCTGTTGTGTTGAGCTATCTCCCTGTGGCATATGGTACACACATAACTCCTCCAAAAATGTCCATCCAGTTACTGCCTTTCCACCTGTATTATATCAAAACTATGAAAATAGAAAGTCTGAACATGGGAGATGTTTTCAGACTGAAAATACTTGATTCCCTAACTTTTGTTACTTGTTTTTAGAAGCATCACTATTGCAGAGAAAGTAAATATTATAACAGTATAATATTAAAGGGAATAATCAGCATTATAGAAAAGGGAAAATGAAAATACTAAACTGATTAAAGTATTAATTTATTATTTAATTAATATGCTTTTTCATCTTTGTAACTAATGGCTTCTCTGTACATCTGGTGGGGACTGTGAGATTTACTTCTTCATTACAAGGCTTAACAACCACTTCTGATTGTTCCATGTCCCAGATACTAGATTTTAAAGAGCCTGGTGCTATATTTCATGCAGTGGCTCTACTAGCCTACACTTGGACTAACTGTCCCTGGCAGCCTCAGAGGAGAGAAGCTGAAATCTGACTCCATTTACCAGCACTCAATGTGAAGGGTGCTGGCATTGAATCCAGTAGTTGTTAATAGTCTTGGTTTCAGATGTTCATAGCTTGACAGGCTGTGTCTCTTTATTTGCCCCAGGCTGAAAATTCCTCTTTTCAAATTTCAGCTAAAACAACTTTTAAATATGATGCAATAACCCTAAAATACCAAACCAAGAATACTGATCATGCTGACGATGCATATAATAATTTGTCAAGACAGCATACAATTACTGAGCTATGCTAGCCTCCAGCTTGGATGTACAAAGACATTGCCTGGAAGAATACTGGCCAGGGACACAACAATTCCTGGAAGCATGCCAGCAGTCAGAAGTATGGATAGTCAGGTGCCAGCACTGATTGGACTTTTGTCCTGTTTAAATCACTGCACAGACTGTCACAGAGTCAGATGATGGAGGAAATTTGGCTCAAGCCTGCAGCCAAAGCAGCATGAGAAAGCCAGGAAGAGTGATGAGCTTAGACCCAGAGGGAGTACAGACTGGTCTGTAAGAGATTTCTTGTTAGTTTGGAGAAGTTAAAACCACTGTTGGTATGTTAACTGTGCTTTTAGAAGGGCAGTTTAACTGACTGAAAGTGTTATTTGCATTTAAATACATTTGTGTGAATGCTGCAACACTGAAAAAAACCTACTGCTTGTATGATGTGTATACAGTAAATTACCCCTGTTGTATAAAAGGAAAAATATTTGATGTTTAAATGATTAAAAGCTATGGGGCAGTGCAGAGCCATTCATGCACCAGAGTGTAAATGGTTTGTGTTTTTAAGCAGCATTTTCATATTCATGTGCACAACCCAACAGGTCAGTCAGCCAACAGTTCAGTGTTTGGGCTGAGCATGTGCTGCGAGATTGGGAATATGGAGTAACACCGTTCTAAAGATAGATGTCCCTTCCCTACCCCACAACACAACTGTTAAAAAATATGTGTGTTTACTTGCCATTCCTAATTGTGAAAAGAGGGAGGAAAAAATGCTGTGGGAAATTCCCACATGAAAATATATTGTTGAGCTTCATTAAAGAAAAAGTGTCACAACATTTTCTTTTTGGTTCTAAAAGAGGTGGTGTGCCAAGCTGGTTTGAAGGCTGAGGTGAAATTGAAATGCTCAGTGCACAGCCTTCTGAGAGGAAATGAGAGAGAAAAAGAAGAACATGAGTGTTAGAGCTGCATATTTCCAGAGTGCCAGGGCCTCACAGTTTTGAGGTATTTGATTTACTTTCTTTCTGAAGGGGAGCTGCTTATGGAAATTTTAGTTTCTATGGAGCTAAAGTTGAAGGTGTTTGGTACTTTCTTATGGTCATTGAATTGTTACAGAGATAGGTGTTATTTTCAAAGGACAGATTTCTGAAAGGTAGATAATGCAAAATGTTCCCCTTAATCACTCCATGGAGAACATTTGCACAGTAGAAGAAAAAAGGATTTGGAAACCACAAAATGAATTTAGGGAAGGACTCGCTGTGAAAGACAAACATGACATGAGACAGCTTTTGTGAGAAATTTTAGTATAGTATTAGTTCTAGTTTTTAGTTTGCATATCTTCTCTGTGATTTTTATCTTTTGTTTAATCTGAATCTTTAATTGAACATTCTGTGCTTGATAACTGTCAGAAAAGTAGACTGGGTAGGTATACTTGCTGTTAAAAGTATTTTTTATGAAACTGCTCTGGGCAACAGTTTTATCTCTCTAAAACCACTTAATGTTTTTACCATGAAAGGAGAAGTTATGCTAAGCATCCAAGTCTAATAATTCTCTTAACGGAAGTGGTACAGCTGTGTCAGGAAGTAGATAATTTCTTGAAAGAGTGCATTTAAGCATTACTGCTTCTAGGGTCCCCTTTCAGTTAGTATTAATTTCTTCAATGAAAGGTGATTTATTTTTTTCTTCAGTCACTATACAGTTGCAACTACCATTATTAGAGGCAGCACTTTCAAAACTTTAATTACTAAAAATCTACATGGTTATAAAAGAGGAAAAAAACATATTGTCATCTCTCTCAGTTTCTGATGAGGAAAAGGAAAATGAATGAATGCTGTCCATAGGGGAAAGAAAGCACTAGCCATTGAAACAGAAATAGGGGTTTATTTCACTTTTTGAATTGCTAAAGCTTCTTAAGGTAGGCAGAAATGGAATTTCTGTTTAATAAAAATGATTGACTTTTGTATCCTAATCCTCACTCACAATAGTTTGATTTTTTTTTTCAGATTTGTTGGAAGGAACACAGAGGAGTGTTCTACACAATGTTGTCATTAAACCTCAGTAATACTCACTGAGTAAATTCAAAGTCCTTTTGAAAAAGACCTGCATGTTAATTCTCACTATTTTGAAAATCTACTGCCAACTTTGGTGAAGGGGACTTAAGAAAGGAGAACTTAATCAAGGTGATCTGAAAGCTAGTGATGATGAAATTAAAACTTTTAACTCATCATGAAGACTGTGAGTACATTCTGATAGTTGCAGAAGTTATGGTCCTGTTTTCCTACCCCAGAGAAGGAAGCATAAACATGAGAAAAAAAGCGTTTAAATGGCAGAACTTCAAGCTGTGCATAGTACATCTTAAAGAGAGCCTGCAGAAAAAGTGTGAAAAGAAGTGCCACATAAAATGAAGAGGGAAGGAGAATTTTTGAAAGGCATAAATGAAAAATAATAAATTTATTTCCACAAGTTTTCTTCTAATGATGTATTTAAAGGTATTGTATCTGTTAAATTACCACAGAGCAAAAAGAGATTTAATGAAGGGAACAATTATTACAGAGGTTCCTTTCCCTTTATCTTGAGAAAAGCTGTATAATTATTGATTTTGAGCCTATTCTTTGAAATGTAAAAAGATAAGAGGTCTCTAGGAATTGAAATAACAGAAAAGAAAATCTGGAAACAAATAGATAAATTAAGATAATATGTTTCAAACTCAGTTGGTGTATCTCCTGGAGTTTGAAAGGAACTTCGAGCTCCTCAGAAAACAACCAAAAACTCCCATTAGTTTCAAGTACTATATCAAGTGACTGGAAGGCACTTCTTAACATAGAGTATTATAATATTTCGTAACATAATACAATGTGATTTAATATATGCAGCATTACAACTAAAAACACCTTTAAAAGGACCAGGAAAATGTTTTGATGAAAGATTTGAAAGATTACCCTTAGTTTTAAAGAACAAAAAGAAACTAAGATGTATTAGAAAATCAGTAATAAATACTTCCATTAACATGACCTAGATGTAAAATACTATTGTGAAAAATCAAGTAGCAAAAACTATGAGAGTCAATTACAAATTTTCAATACATCCAACAAGATGAGGATTTTTAATTTTACCTTTATAATTGATGTTGGCACTATAAATCGTGAGACTTGGGACTAGAACTAACAGATATTGAAGCAATTCTATAATTTCATTACTTTTTTCTTAATTTTTTAATCCCATACTGATTTATTAAATACAGGATGCAAATTAGGGTATTCTAGCTCAGCATTGTTGTCTCCAGTGCTGGCCATGAGCAGCTGCATAGTGTCATGAGAGTCTGTGGTTTAACAATGCAGTTTCTGAATAAAGACCTCTATTTGTTTGCTTTGACTTTGCCATTTGCTAATTTCATCTGATGACCCATAATTATTTGGTTACAAAAAAGTGTGAAGAATTGTTACCTTTTATTCCTTCAATGATTTTGTTGCATCTGTCCCCATTTCATAGGCATACCCAGAATGTGAAGCAGTAGCTTCACCACCTAAAAATACCCACTAAAATATTTAGTGTAGATAATCTGCCATAGAGGTTATGCACCAGGCACTTGGAGGTCTTTGAGCTTTCAATAATCCATGTACAGCCTTCATTCATTTAATTTCCTTTTTCTTAAGTAGAGGACTTCTAGGGGAAACCTAGATTATTTAAATGTTAGAACACTCAGTTTTAATACATCTTTTTTCTTTTGTAATGTAAAGTGTTTGCTGTGACAGTCTTTAAAGAGGATGTCAAACTCCAGCTGGTCAGAAGGCATTTTACACTCCTTTTGTAAATTCCCTGGGATTTGCATTTTCTCTGAAGTGTTAAAGACTTCTATGCAAATAAATGCCCCATTAAGCAGTTTTCCTTTGGCTGTCATTTATTAAGCCTGGCTAAGAGTGAGGTTTGGCATCCTCCTTCTTACAGTATGTCACATTCAAGTTTACTTTTTTGTTGTGACTGCTTCTTAATGTATTGATGGGGAGCATGACAGCAATACAGATTATTGACATTGTAAATAACTCCATTAACTCAGGTATTTCAACCCCCTCACCCCTGAACATTTCTGAGCTTTATCAAAGATTTATACTAGTAACACATCTCTCTCCATTTTTAAAATAATGCATTCCTATTCAACCAGATTTTATTCGAGATCCAACACTGATTACACAAACTGTTGTAAATTATTTGCTTCCCATTCAACTCAGTGTTGCCTTCCTACAGCTCTAGTGAGATGCATCTTCAAATTGGAAGTCAGATGAGGCAAATGCCACAGATTCTTACAATTACTTGTAATATGCAGAGAAGTTAGTGGATGACTTTGATTAAATCACTTCTCTGAGTAACTGTCTTGCTTTAACCCCCACCAAGCCTACCACCTGCTCACTCCACGAGCAGGTTTGGGGAGAAAATTGGAAAGGTAGAAGCTGGAGAACCCACAGGTTATAGAGAAATAGAGAAAGCAGAAGCCACACACATGAGCAAAGCAAAATAAAGGAATTAATTCACTGCCTCCCATGGGCAGGCAGGTGTTCAACCATCTCCACTAGAGCAGATCCCCATCACAAGTGATGGTGACTTGGGAAGATGAAATCTGTCATTCCAAATGTGTCCTGCCTTGCTCCTTCTTTCACCCACTTTATATACTGAACATGACACCATATGGTCTGGAGTATCCCCTTGGTCACTTTGGTCACTTGTCCCTGGCTGTCTCCCCGCAGCCTCCCATGTACTTCTAATTTCCTTGCCAGCGTGGCAGTAGGAAGAGTGAAAAAGGCCTTTGCTTTGTGCGAGCTGTGCTCAGCAATAACAAAAACATCTCTGTTGTCATCACTGTGTTCAGTCAAATCCAAAACACAGCCCCATACCAGCCACTGTGAAGAAAATTAACTCTGTCCCAGCCAAAACCAGTTGTATGGCCCCAAACAACTCCCTTGATAAGATTTTAACAGGGCTTACAGTTTTTCATGTATTTTGAGTTAGATTCATGGGAGAAATACTGACAAGATATTCTCAAGAGATCAACAAAGAAAACTTTACTGGCAACTCTAGAATTTAAAAGGATTTTGACAAATAGTTTAGAGCAGCATTCAGTCTACATAAACCACTTGTTAAAGTATTAATTTCACCCATTCAACTTAGTAGACTCAAAGCCCATTCAATTTTCTCAGAATTCCAACAAGAGAGAATCAGATAGTGAAAAGAACAAATATAGCTACCAACTCCTGGTTCCATAGTGAAAAGAACAAATATAGCTACCAACTCCTGGGTTCCAGCAATGTTCAACTAAGAGAAATACCAGGAAGAGAAAGATCCAGATATGCTTGTCTCCTGTTCAGCCTTAAATAGTCCTTGGCCTTCCTGGGCCCTTCCCTCAGGTGGGACTTCGGTCATTTGGCCACCCAGGAGCTGGACTGGGAGCTCCAGGGGCAGGTGTGGAGCATTGCCTCCAGTGTGCTGGGGATTGGTGTTGTGCTGGGATGCCTGACACATTGGAAAGAATGATGTCTGAACTCCAATGATTTCAGAAGGCTAATTAATTACTTTATTATACTATAACTTTATTACACTATATTACATTAACAAGATATATTACTAACTAACCAGAAAACCTGTGACTCTCTCCTGAGAGTCCCGACACAGCTGTTGGATCCAATTGGTCCATGAATCCAAACAAACATCACCAGAATCCAATCAAGCAATCACCCTGGGTAAACAATCTCAATACCACATTCCACATGGGCACAAACACAGGCAAAGATAAGAATTGTTTTCTCTTCTCTCTGTGCTTCTCAGAAAAAAAACCCTGAGAGAGAGAGAGAGAGAGAGAATTATGTCTCTCTTTTCAGAGAATGTGAATGCCACAGATTGGTGGCTCCTGCAGGGCTGGAGCCCACAGGCCCAATGGGTTGTATGGGACAGGGCACTGCCTCACCAGGGAATGGCCTGACCTGCCTCTTCTACACACACATGAAATGTTTTGAGGCAGCAACCCTTCTAGTCTCTCATGCCAGCGCAGAAACGTGTATCTATAACATGGTGTGGCCTTATAATATCTTCCCATCCAAGAATTTGGTTTTGGCAGTAATGAGTTGTGAGATGCTTGCCATTATTTTCCTGCATCTTTAGATTAAACTGTTCCACTGTGTGACAGTATTTTTCTTTAGAAAACTGTGATTAGTGGAGGTACTGGATTGGTTTCTGCATAAGATAACATAATTACTTTTGGATAACAAGTACCAAAACAACAGAATTATAAATCATTTGAGTTTGGACAGGAACCCACTGCAGTCACTGAATACTATCCTTTGATGGATATTTAAGGAGGAGATGGAGAGGATTTCTGAGGAAATCATCACAGCCTCACTGCTTTGACAAACAGCAAGTGTTAATCCCTTATTTAATTTTGTGTCTCAAGTCAGACCATACCCGTGTTTTCTGTAGCCTTTTATGTACCCTTTTGGACTTTGGATATGCCATGTAAAAGTAATCATACCTCCTCTAAGACAGCAGTTGCCTAATCTTTCCAGTGCCTCTCTTTGTCTGCAGAAATAAATGCCTTCACACCACCCACACACCCCAGGAGAGCAGCCTGCCCCCCACTCCCTGCCTCTGCTATGGTAGCAGCGACATCCATTTGCTTTCAGTTACAGAGTTAAGGGTGGTGTTGTCACAGCTGAAGGTGATGTTAAGTGTCTCTCACATCATCACTTGTCTTTCCCTTTCACAATGACTCTTAGATAGTTGAAGCTTTGGGCTACAATTTAATCTGGTCTAGCCTTATGGATTTGGTTGTTCTGTTTGGTTTTGTAAAACTTTATTCCTGTTTGGATTCTTAAATGTGACTAATATAGAAGTCATATACTCATTAAACCAGAGCCTTTTCTAGAATAACTATAAAACCAAACATTTAAAGAAAGTCTACTTATCCATTTTATTAATAATCATACCATCCCTTGTTTGTAGAATATTCATTGCTAATCCTCATCTATTTACTTTGGAGAAATTTATCTCTTGTCTTTCCTTGTCTTATTAGTTCCTTGTCTTGCATCTACCTGTTAACATATTCATGCAATAAATATTCCAGCCATCTAATTACCCGCTATATTCATAAGTTGTTTCAAAGAAGCCATGAATGTATTGTGATTTATTACAAAAAGATCTAATTAATGGATTCTAAATGTTATTTTATAGGTGGTATCAAGGCTATTTTCAGCAAAAGTTTCTAATTGAAAACATATAGCTTTACCAACAGGACAAGTGTTCAGTGCAGATAAGAGATTACATCACCATGCAATAATAGTGAAGAGCCCTTGCTATAGCTGGGCAAGATACAGACTTCAGGCTCAGCAAGGTGCAGACTCAGAATAAACAGCTGCCCCCCAAAACTTCTTATTAATGTGCTATGATGAAAGCCCTTAGGAGACACTTGTGAACTGGGAAAATTACTTTTTCACTGAAACTGATAAATAATATAAAGATCAAAAATTGCTTGTCCATCAGAAGTATATGTCTATCAGGTACAAAATCAGCCATCTATAAATGTGGTATTCTCTCTATTCCTGTTTATTTTTAAGAAAGACATTTGAGATGCTTGACTTTTGCAGAGCTCTTGAACCCAAGGTCACTGAAGTTAGATGCATTTCTGTTAATATTCTTAGCAATTTTTAATATGCATAGTTGATATCCCGAACAATGCCCACTTAATGCACTTAATTTCACATATTTTCTTTTGTATGCTTAGTAATCATGGAAAGGTCACTGATCATTATATTCTTTGAATTATAGGCTATGCATTTTGGACTTTTATTCTATTAAATTATTCAGTCTTGAAATAAATGTTTAATTGGGAATAGTTCACTTTATGTGATCAACCATGGAATGAATGTATATATTAATATATAATGCATCTATATATTTTATATACATATATATGCACTTTTTTTTGCCTAGATTTTGAAACCAAGTAGAGATCACTATATTTTCCTCCTTCAAAAGGAGTGGAAAATATTGTGTAATATTGCCCAAACTGAAGCTGGATCTACTCAAAATGCTTGCCTTTTAAACTTTCCACTAAATGGGGGACGGGTGGGGAGAGAATAATGTTTGTTGTTTGATGTAAAGGACACTGATTTGTTTATTTTTATATATGGTTTCATATTCTTCTATATGCTTTCTGGTAAACTGTATCTTTGATGTCTAGCAAGAAAGTCTCACTTCTTTCCAGTCTTATAATTTAATGCTTCAGTGAACTTGCATTACTTCTGACAATTTTCACATGTACACAATGATTGTGTGTCTCATATATCTGCAGTTTGAAGTACTTAATAGATTCAAAATCAGCCTTGTATAGCAAGCTTTCTATGTCAAACTCAGTTAATTTATAAAGACACGTATTATGAGAATAAAAAAGAAATTTCCATTAGGGAAATCTGTCAGTGGAGAATGGAATTTGAAAGTCATTAAGTACCATCATCTCTTCATATGTTTTAGTAGTAGTAACTATTTTTTTAACAGCAGTCTCCTACTGCTCCATCAGTCTGACTGGAAATCACAGCAGTTTCTAGTAACTGATGTCTGTTCATCTTCCTTTTAACTGATTAAAATCCTCTTTTCAATCTGTAATGAGAAACACCTTGGTCCTGTATTCAAATAATAATGTTCTTCTGTCTTTGCATATTATTAAAAATACTTCCTGGTATTTAGGATACAGCAATATATTATAAAATACACCTTGCTCTATATAATTTTGGTTTGGTTATATTTCCAAGTAGTTGAACAATTACCCATTCTGTAGTTTTATTTTTTTTCTCTCCAGAAACGCTGTTCCTATATATGCTCCATCTTCAAAATTCCAGGTGGTCCCAAAAATGTCTCTTTATACTAACTATATTAAAAGAGAAGCTACCTAAATAGGTCTAGGTTTGATTCAAACTCACTGCTCCCTTGGCCCCACAATCAAAATCACACACATTTGACTAAGCTTTCGGAGACAAACTCCACAGCTTTTCAGAGTCATTTTTCAAATGTGAATGCTTTATTTTAATTGTACATTTAGACTTGGAGCACATTAATGCAAGGTGCTGAGTGCTTTTAAATTGTCTTGTCTTTCATCACTGCATATACTGTGTAGTCTGACCCTTCTTTGGGAGGAGTTACTGCTGAAAATTGCTGGAAGACTCATGTAAGATGCTTGTCTCAAGAGGAAATATATTTATTAAATTAGGATCAAAGGAATACCTATGTTTGTAAATTGCATTCTAATACAAAGACAGTTTTGTTCCTTTTAAATATATTGGCTTTGAAAGTGGAATCCTAATGAAACAGTCCATGCAAAATTCTCAGCAGTTGCATCTAGTTTTCCAAGTAAAGTAATTTAGGAGGTAGCTGGTGAAATCCGTATGGAACACTGCAAGCTGCAGTTATATGGGATAAAGTCCACTTCGATATCAGATTTTACATTAACTTCTACAAAGAAAGAAATGTCCCTTAGCTCCAAAGTTTCTGAACCAGAGGTCATGAAATGCTGGAAGGATAAACCAGCTAGGTTTTGTGAATGTTTTCTCTGCTTTTGAGCTCTTCCTTAAGGTGTGCATTATTGATCACTATCGAAGTCAGGATACTGTGCTAGATGTAGCTTTAATTCTATCTTCTGAAGAATATTGTTTTAATAATAATTTGAATTATTTGTACTTTATGTATAAATTAACTGTACCATGAAACTATTCAGTCTTTATGATGATTAAGTCTCTATAATGTCAATTGCAAATCCATTTCAGAGGAGGATAATTCAGTCAGATCAAAAACTAATGCTCAAACAAACCAAGAGTCTTTTCTCATTTGAAAATAAAATTAACCAAAACTTAGCACACTCTCCATACTTAGGATATATAATAAGAAACGTGAAAAAAGTCCAAGAACAGAAATGGACTCTTTAAAAGAGCCTCCTAATGAGAAATATCAGAAAATGCTTTGGGTTGGAAGAGACCTGGAAAATCATCTCGTTTCAATCCCTCTTCCATGGGCAGGGACACCTTCCACTAGACCAAGTTTCCCAAAGCCCCTTTCAAACTGGCCTTGAGCACTTCCAGAGATGGACAGCCTGGGTCAATGCTTCACCACCCTCTCAGGAAAGAATTTCTTCTCAATATCTTAGCTAAACCTGCCCTCTTTCAGTTTAAAGATATAACCCTTTGTCCTATCAAATTCCAAATATGGGATATGGAATTTTAAGGTATGTTATTAAAATTTCCTATATGGCATGTATACAGAAACCAGGAAAAAGGATCAATGGTTGCTAAGCAGACAAAACAGAGTTAAATCTTATTTCTGAACTGTATGGTTCATCAGTACTAGTTATAACTTATATCAAGGTTGTTAGCTTGTTTCATATACATGTTTATAAAAAGCAAGTGTATAGCTTATATATTTTTCTGTCTTTATGCTTACTTTTCTGTCACATCTTGCTTTACGTAGCTCTGCATGTAGGATGTGGCTTGTATACAAACATGTATGCAGCTGAAGTACAATACAGAAAATGTTTAAGCACTTCATCTGTCCATGAGCTCAATGGGACTAATTATCTGCCTGTCACTTTTACTTGTATTCATAGAAGTACTAGAGGTTTGAGTCCTTAAATTATAAGCTCTGTGGTAAGGTTTTAGGCATATTTACCTCTATCATATCTGCGAACAAAAGTCTAAAAAAATAATAATAGTAAAAGCGTAAACTTTTGTGTTGCTTCTATACAAAATACAGGCTCAATTTTTGAATTAGAGTACACCAAGATACCAATCACTAGAGTTTATTTATATCTTTAAAATATAAAATTGGATGATATAAGTGTAAAACATTTTCAGCCCTTACCTTCATATTCTTTGGTAATGAAAATAAAAATTATGACATCAGCATCCCTTTCAAGCAGGCTAACTGATGCTGCAGCATTATGAGTCATCTCTTTTAACACCAAACTGCTTTTTTAGAAAAAAGTTTTAATGGTGAGGTTTGAGGGTGATACGTGTACAGATCTTACTCTATTCATGGAACAAAGGAAAAAGCAGTAGAAGTTCAGCATTAACTCTATGACCTAGAAAGGTAGCTGCATTTTTTCAACATCTTGAGCTCTTTGCTGATACTACTCATGAACACAGTGGTTTGAGATGTTCAGTCTGCCTGCACTGGACACAGAGGTGTATTGTACATAATTGTGTAAGGCACTGAATAGCTACAGAGTGAGAGTGTTTAGTCAACTGATAGCTGATCTAATCTCTCACCAGGAACTGTGAAGTCCTTCACTTGGCCTGTGCTGGGACCAGCAGCAGAGCAGAGCTCCTGAGCTGCTCCCTTGCTGCATTTGTTGCTGTACTGTCACACTCCCTTGCACTTGCTGCACAGCCATGGTGCTGCTGCCACCAGTGGTGATGCCCCAAGGGTGTCATGGCAGGGTGACTGCATCAGAAACACCCACATGCTGTGGGATCAGGCTGCCCAGGACAGTTCAACAAGGGCCTTAAAAGTAAAGTACTTGGGAATTTTCTTTTCAGAACACAATGCTTCAGTTCAAGCCCACCTTTCTCCTATGCAGTAGGCACTATGGCAGCCTCTAGCTATGGTGTAACATTTTCTGCTTTGGCAAGGGTTGCTGTGGTGGATGAGGACAGTTGCCCAGTGTAATTACATCATATACTGGTCTTGAATGACTGTTTTGAATTCAGAAATGGTGAGGGCAACTGTTGACACTCTGCAGCACCAACACACTGCTTGCAGAAGGTCTCTTCTCATGTCATCATGGTTGCCACTTGCCTATAAAATTAGTTAATTCCTGATTCCTGTGGATGCCTGGAAGATCAGGTCAGTGTAGCTTGGTTGAACTGCCACATCATCCAGGTCTTCCATCAATCACATTACTGCACGGTGAGGTCCTCAAAGGTTCACATGCTGCAGAGTTTCAGTTTCTCTGTATACGCAGGGGAAGAAGAGTTAGGAATGATGTTGAGATCTTCATTCAGGCCTACAAGGAGCTTTTACTGTTCAGGATTATAATTCATTCATTCTACACATTCTTGTTCAGAGATGGTGATGATTGTAGTTAATTTATGGGGTCTATGATGCAGTCTACCAAATAAATATGTAACATCTGTGGTTTTTAGGGCTTGGGCATCTTCACTAGTGACAAAGCAGCAGTCTCTTCTCAAAAAGGACTATGGTATTGTCAGCCTTAGAATATATGTCTAATTACTGATAGCACTGCTCATTGCTATTCCTTCTCATTGTCCTGCTGTACTAAGTGTTGGTCAAACATGCCCTGAGCTCTTGCAGATAGAGAAAAAATGTGTCTGCAGGTGCCTGGCTGCACCAAACTGCTGAGGGCGGTTTCCAGATCATGACAACTGTAGTCACCACATAATACCACAGTTGTCAGGTATGCATTAAGGAAAGTATAGTAATGCAGCCATAATTTGTCCATAACTTGGAATAATTCAAGTTAGAATGGATGCTGCAGAACAGAGTTGTCCAGGTATCCTTGGTGCAAATTAACATTTATTATAGGGGCAGTGTGGATGCTTCAGGACAAAATAGCAGTCCAAATGCAGACCATTTGCTATCACATAGTACAGTTGCTAACAGCAATTTACCTATACTTCTGAAAATTGCAGTGAGGTATTCTTGGAGATCCTGCCACAGATTCATCTAATCATCCATATAGTACTACTTAAGCCTGGAGGTTTGTCAGGGAAATGACGCTCTGTCCTTTTGAGCTGTTCCCAGTACTTCTTGGTCTAGGAGTTGAAGGAAGCAGTGGAAAAATGAAAGTTAATATCTCTTCATCACAGGTATTTGTGGAGACGGAGATATTTGTTCTTGGTAGTTTGGAGGGGTACAATTCACTGGAAGTTCCCCACACACAGCCTACTGAGACACTCACATCTCAAGGACACTAACTTTGTGTAAACACGTGGGCTGGAATAATTTCTTTAGTGACCATTGCTGAGGAGAATTGCTTGGTGAGCAGTGGTGGGTGCAGTGACAGCACCTGCTGGCAGACATGTGAAAAAAAAGGAATGGCATAATCCTGGAAGTAGCCTGAAAGACCTGACAGCAAGAGCATGGCACATTTTTTGGGAGCGTGGTTCTATTTTTATGATGTGTAGGTAGCAGAACATCACTTACCTGCTTACCTTCAGATGGAATTCCTTGATAGGAATGAGCACCCCATCAGCCCTGTGACCATGCATGATGTGACTGGGTGTAACCCACATGGTGGCATATGTTCTTATCAAAACAAGCACCTGTGGCTGCTGCCTTGCCAACAAAGCAGTACAAGTCATTGTACTTTGTCCTATGGACTTCCACTTTCTTTCCTTCTCAATAAGACTGGAAAGAAAAATTTCCCTCACTTTAGGAGTTTTGTCCAGCCAATGCCCATCACCTTAGCTGCTGTGTGCAGAGTTAGCTGGCCAGTGCTGTCACAGGGGCATGGGAGAGACTGGCAGTGGTGGTCTGCAGCAAGGTCCCCATGTGGAGCAATTCTTATAATCTGTAGCTCAGCATAAACTGGGAAACAATATTTAAATACCATCCTCATGCCTTCATGTTTTTTTTTTCAATTTCTTGAAGTTGAATAAGCGACCCTTGCCATCTCGTATGAAAACAGCCTTTGGTGGATCATTTGCAGTCTCTTCTTGCTACTGGTGAGTATTCCTGTCAGCAAAGTCCAAGGCATGAATGTAACAGTTTTAAATCTTGATGAATTTCTTAGTCTCCACTTAGATGTGTACTATGTCTTGCCAAAGGTGCGTGTAAATGAGGCAGCTGTTCTAAAACATGGTCATATGTATTTGTAAGGTGATGAGGCAGGAATGTGGGTATTAGGATATGACCCAAGGGTTGGAAGGGCATGTGAAGTCATGAGGGCTCATCTTTTGCAGGATAAAAAAAACCCAAATAACTGGGATCTTGCATAGGTTGTGCCCATGCAAGGGCAGGGCCTGATGTGAACTATTCTATAGTCTCTGCCCATATTTCTCCACCTAAGAAACAATTTGTTTTGTCCCAGAGCAGAAGCTGAGTGTAAAGTAATACCAATACAGTGGTTGCAGCAACATACAGTGCTGTCTGAAATGGCTGTTTTGAAACTGGTAATTGCTCTCTGTTTTTGTTCTTAATATACTGCAAGAAACTAGGTGTTGTGTATCTTTTTTGCAAATAAACAAGTTTGCATCAAAGACATATTTATTCTATCAATTTCTTGTCCTGACGTAATCTGCAGGATCTCAAGTATAGGCTGGTTGCTTTAAGCAGCAGATAGAACACTAATGGAATCTAATTTAAATTTATATTTGCAGCCCTCATTTAGAGGTGCATAAACTTCAAATACAAATACCCTATATTTCAAATGTCAAGTTAAATAATAATTTGCTGGATGAGCTATTGTCTGAAAATACACAACACACCCCCCTTTTGGAATGATACACAAAGATCTTCTGTGCTTTGAAATGATTCATAGCAGATAGGAAGAAAAAGGATCATTAATTGATTCTTCAAATAAAAGATCACAAACTGAGAGATCCTATTGGAAAATCAAATGGACTAAATTTTCAGAGAAGTTTGCTGACTGAATTTCAAATCAGCTTGATGATTAAACAGCAGGTCATTAGAAGTGCGTTTACGTTAACAAGCGTCTGTAACCATATTCATACTAGGGCAAGGCAAAGTACACAAAGTGTTTGTTATATTATAATTAGTTTAGATTACTTTCCATTATGTATTGGTAAAAGCAGTCCATGGGCTGGCTCATGTTTCAGGTTGCTCTGCTGTTCCTGTTTGTGCAGCAGTAGCTCTGGGTAAGGTATCTGCATGACAATATCTAAAAGCCCTGCCCAGCAGTTTTAAGTAGTGACCTTTGCACTTTTTTGGCTCATGATCCCATACATGCCACCACCCATTCTTATTATCAGACTTTAAACTGAAAATAGGACAAAAGTGATATGAGCAATGCAAGGCTGTATTTCGTAAGAGTCTTTGGGCTCCTTGCAAGCAATCTCTCTGGATTATGCTGCATTAAAACATATTCTTTTTAGTCTATCAGTGCCACTGGAGAAACAGACCTGTAATTCGTAACACCAGAAATTGGTGTTAACTACTTTGCAGTGTTCAAACCTGTTTATTACCCTTACCACCCATACTTTTTACAAGCTGTGTATTCTCATGTGTTCCATTTTTGAAACCCTAGAAATGCTATTTTTTTACTTCTATTCCATTAATTCATTTGATATATGTGAAGGCAAAGTAGTAACACTGACACTTCTGAAGAATGTTTTAATCCTTAGTGTTATTACATAATTTCTTGATTCGTTTTTATCTGGTGTGGTTTAGCACAGCAGTATGGACCCACCCACTGCATCTCAAAGTGTAATCTCTCTGACACTTAAATGACATTTTTCCATTTTCTTGGATAATGAATAATTTACAATGTGGGCCTGTAAAGAATCTATGTTCGTATTTAAATATCTGTGAAATTTACAGATTCACTTTTTCATTTTGAAAGCTCTAAGGTAATAGAAAATGTTTCACGTACTAGTTTCCTTCTTTTTCCATAAAGAGCTTTTGTTCTGCAGATTGCAAAAACACTTCATAAACTGTAGCTTGTAAGATATATTACTTTTTAAGGTGGTTGGTGGCTCCACTGTCAGAAATTAAAAATGAAATAGAAAAGGAATGCTTAAGATAAGCCTGCCTGTAAAAGGGATATCTGTATGTTCACATATGAGTATAGGTGCGGTCAGAGGAGTCTAAATCATATAAGTCTGGGAAAACATTTGTGAATTAATCATGTATTATGAGTTCTGATGTTAGACTATTTTGTCTCACACTAGAAACAGAAAAAGCTCATTTAAGATTAAAAATGGAAGTGTTAAAGTACAACTGAGTGATACATCAACTATATGAATTAAAAAGAGCCAATGAGAAGAGATAAGGCATCTAAACTCCCATATTGCCAGAGGGTGCAGTGAGACAAACCAAAGAAGCAAGTGCTACACAAAGGTCAGCCCAGCTTGGAGGTATGGAGATAGGGGTCTGAGCTCAGGGAGGAAAAGATACAGAGATAAAGGCACACTGTAGACAAAGAGGAAGAAAATACGGAATAGCCTGGAAGATGCAAAGTGGCTACTCTGTCCATCTTGCAAGTCATCTGAAACGCAGGGCAATCTCTTTTTAAAATCTTGTCTGGAACTACATTTTTCTTGCTTCATGGCTTCCTCTCAACATACTCCTTTTCCTTGCATGAGTTGTGGAGTTTGGAGGAACTAGAGCATATTCTTTACAATCAGTTACAAATATGAGGCTTAGAACCAGTCCTGTTCCAGTCATCTCAGCAAAGATCAGCACAACATTGCACTCAGTCACCTGTGCTCTGAGAACAGCATATAGAAATGGTTAATGACTTAGACCTTCATATGGCAACCAGGGATCACAATTTCTAATAAAAAAATATTCACCCTCCGATCTGACTTTCTTGAAAATTATTATTATCTTGATAATGAGATATTTTGAAAATCATCTGGGCCAAATTAATCAGATAGTGGTAACTGCTTAATTCTACTGAAGTGGTGCTACACAAGTATTTACTGAACAAAGATGTCAACTAACAATTTTATGTTACTTATTAAAGACAGACCCAAGATCAGTTTAGAACTTGTACCAAAACTATACTGTACTTTTCCCAAACTGTACTTCCTTACTGCCAGTATGATGTAAAAAGAGGTTTCTTCTTGAATATTTATATGTGTCTTTGTAATATAATGTCATTTTAATACAATATTGTTTCTGAAAAATTGATTCATTATTCTGAACTACTGATCTGGCATAAGCTAAACTGTCATCACTGCCTGATCACACAGCTTCCTACATCATCTTCATCTCTTTCCAGCTTTGAAGTTTCATCATCCTTGTCAAGATCTGGAAGTGCAGCTTAGTATGCGGTAGTGACCACAAATTAGTAGTGGGTAAATGCAATCTTAATGTCTCAGAGAGCAAAGTATTTTAATACTTATCCATTTAAGTTCACAAGCTATACACGAAATACATTGAACCTTCATGAAAACTCTAAAAAGAAATGTGTTTATTGTGCTTCTAATGTGGAAGCAGATGTTTAAGAAAATGTTCCTCAAGAACGAACTTGATGCTTCAGTGCTATGAAGCTTTATTACATTGGTTGTTGAAAGTCAGGAAGTCTGATGTGAGCAGCATGACTTAGAAGAAGGTCTTTTTTCAGACTGGATGCTTTAAGTATGAAATTTGTCATTATGCAGCCAGTCAATGACCTGATTTTCAAACACTATTTACACAGGATTCTATCTGGTCTGCTTTAGATGTTAATTTCATTAAGGATAACACACTGGAAAGACAGATCTTAGAAGCTCCTTGGGGGGACACCACACAGGATGCCTTCAGGCACAACAGCTATCCAATAAGCTCTGTCAGCCTCTTCTCTTAAGGCATTTTTAACACCCTGCATGTTGTCTTGTGTCATGATCCAACATACCCCCATGAGGTAACTGATACTATCATTATCTGAAACTATCTCAGAACAAAGTAAAGGAATTAAGAATAGTGCATCTTTAATTGATACTTATAGGCCTGAATTAGTGATCAGCGACATCTCTATATCCAACTTCTTGTTATCTGTAAAATGTGTGTTTGGAATTGTTCATGATTTTGTAATGAAGACTATTTTTGTACAGCATACTGAGTGATAATGTAAAAGCAGCAGAGAAGAGCTAGAAAGTAGTAAGTTGGAGTTCAGAAAAAAGACTGTTTTCTTTTGGCTGACAATGTTATATAAAGATTTCAGAATTAAGAATAGAGACAAAGTTTACTTTAAATTTCAGTGCACCCAACTTAACCTTTCAGAGCTTTGCAAACTGGGAAGCATTTTGGACAGACTAGGATAAAAGTATCTTTTCAGTCAAAACATATAACTGCTCTTCAAGTTAATTACAGAATGATTGCTCAGAGATATAAATTTTCACACTATTCTACTCCACTCTCTAATTGTGAGAGTAAAACTTTGTACTATCATAGTTACAGAACAAAAACTGTGGACCTTTAACAGAAAAGTTAACGTTTGCTAGAAGGGTATAACATCTCATTATATATTAATTTAGTAACAACTTTTAAAAAGAGCAGTACACCTTCTCTCATATTTATTACTTCATTTGAATGACATCAAGAATGGCTTGTTCTGAATTAAAGAAAGACTTGGAGGTTGGTAATTTAATTGGAGGATAATTCAGTTTCTTCACCTAGAAGTAACCAAGGTTAAAATCATATACAGCCAAATTATTATTTTAGCCACACTTAACTGTTACTTTTTCCTAATAGTGATATAATAAATCCTTTTTAGTTATTAGTAGTTCAGCTTGAGAGAAAAGCTTTGTGTGAGCTTCGTCTGGATTGCAGAAAAGTAACATTTATTTAAGTCTTCAAAAGAAGAAAAAGATTTATTGTAATTATAAAACTTATTTCTGTACCTACTCTAGATTTTGTGACAAGTGACTTAAACATCTCTATTTGTGCTTTCCCAGTGGAAGAATAGCCACGGGAATATTCAGTTCTGCATAATTAATATTTGAAACCATAATACATGTGAAATGTAATACACTTTCTGAATATAGTTCTCTCTTTACCACAAGGTTACCTTGCTATTTGCCTAAAAGTATTTTGATCAGAGAAGTAATATTATAGATTATACCCTGGTAGGTTAATCCACTTGTGCTTCTGCAATTTTAGAATTACAGTGAATTTTGGAAAAGAGAATACGGTAGAAAATTAATATTAATCAAGGAGGAAATGAGTGTTTCTTACATTGTAGAGCAACAAAATTTTTGTGGTCTATCCCAAATATTGAAGTGCATGTCTCCAGTTAATTTGTTGAGAGATCCAGTTTGCATTTAGTCATAGAATGTCAGTAAAATAACCCTTTAAATTTGAGCTCCCTTTTGAGCTACAACTTAGAATCTCCCAGTGATAATAACTTTGGTGGAACACAAGGAGGAAATGTAAGCTAAGTTCTCCAGAAAATCAGAATTTAAAATGGGGAGGGGGGAGAAAAAAAAAAGGCGTTTTGTGTTTGAATTTATAATTATCTGTCTGTTAAGGATGAAAGGATGCTTTTGACAGGAGGCTTGAAATCTCTCCTTCCCCATGTGCTAAGAAGAATAATTCGGTGCAACAGACTCAGTATTAGTAATACTTCTGTAATGGCAGAAGGTAAGTGAACCTAACAGCTCTCTGTGCAAAGTGATTCTATTTTATATTCATACCTATGTGGTTTTTGTTTGTAAAGGATTGGAGAAATATCAAAAGCACCAAAGTAAAACAGAAGAAAATGTTATGTTCTTCGGTGTTTTTGAAATCACATTGTAAGCACCTGACTCTGTTTTTTAAATCATAAAGATGTATCAGAAGAAATACACCATCCTACCTGAGTAATGTACATGGACTTTGTTTTCAGTGTTTGCAGTGCATTCCTCAGCTTCCAGTTGTTGTTGAGAAATGATGGATGTAGAAAACATTTGAAAAGTCTTTAACGAAATCTGGGTTTTCTTGCATGTTATTATCACATTTGTAAGATGTTCTTTACTATGTTCTTCACAGAGACCTGGCTTTACTTAGCACATCAGATATGCTTTGAGGAAGAATTAGAGGCAAATTGATACAGGAGTGGTTTTCTGCTTGATTTGTTGCAGAAGGTGAAGATTACTGGATCAGCAAGGCTGGGAATTATAAAGGGAAAAATTAGTTTTATACTCAGATAACGGAATACATTCTGGAAAATTGATTTCTGTCTTGCCTTTCATAGCTGGACTTTTACAGAAACAGAAGTCTGTCATTGTTCTGATCAACTTTAAAAATTAATGTAAACAAAAATACCATGATCAACTAAGTTGTGTGTACAATAGTAGCACTACTATAAAATATAATAAAAGTCATTTTTAGAACTGTAGTGAGTCTTAAAATTGTGGTTTTCTTTTCTATCAGTTTCTAAGTTGAAAAATACTAATGGAAGACATTTTATAATGTTAATAATTTGAGGTTTGCCCAGCCAAATTTTTAAGTGAATTTATTGCTGCAGTAGTTTTGAATGTACTGGTTCTAACGTTTTTAGAAATATTGTTGACATACAAAACAAGTTCATGAGCAAATAGTTTCATTATACAAAAAGAACCATTGTAACAAATTCTCTTATGCTGTTGTTATCCAATTCTTTCTTACTGTCCTCATTGTCATTCACCATAGAATTTAAAAGCTCTTTCTAAACTTCTCTGAACTTGGACATGAATGTGTTGAATTACTGCCTGGGTTGGTCAACACATCCAGCTCCACTACCATTGCTTGTGAATACATCCATAATGATGGCTCCATAATGCAAGTGAATCCATCAGGGTTGTATACAAAATAAGGATAGCTATCAGGAGGAACAATAAAGTTCTCAAAGTGTTGTAATGAGGCTTCCTGAGTTTATCGAGTATTTTCCTGAAGATTCAGCCTGTCATCTGTAACTAGTATGTGAAATTCAGTGCTGTCAGTTGAATGCCCTGACTAAACCCATAATTTTAAGAACTCATTAATATAACCAGCAAAGCCGAAAGTGCCTGTGGATTTCTCGTGGATGGCAGGGAATGAAATTGAGGGGTAACCAAACTTAATGTTTTATTCAGTGGATAATGTAATATGTTTATTTAGCAAAAATATTTTTCTGTATTTAGCAAGAATCTCGTTCTGTATTTAGTAACTTTTGCTAGTAATAAAATGAATTTTTGTGCTGACTACTCCCAAGAGAGCAGTTTGTGGACAAATTCAGTATGCAAATACATGCTTACCTCAGCCTTTGCTTTGCATTTTTCCATCAGGAATAGAATTCTCTTTGGATTTCTTTGTTAGCTTTAGTCAAGAGTAAGATTTGGCTCATTTTCTACAGCCTTTGAAGGCAGCTCATTGATTTCAACTAAATTATTGCCTCCTTGATGACAGACTACTGCAGAAAGTGAGTGCTTCTGTGCAGCCTCCTACTCGCCTGCCTGATATCAGACAGTAATAACTCTTCAAGAGAGAATCAGTACAGAATTTAGGGATTGTTAATTGCTGGGTTTATACACCCCAGACCAGTTGTACTCCAAATTTCCCCCCATTATTTTAATAGTTGATATTTCTGTGCAGGAAAGTTTAAATGGCATTGGTATTAACTACTACTGTTAAGAAAATATAAATTTTCGCTTGGTGGGACTTTTCTTCAGTGGTACTCATTGCAAAAATGTTAATGTCTTTAGAAGCTATTTCATAGTAGCAGTCAAGAACCTTTTTAATCAAAGCTGTTTGCAAGTGAAGAAAGTGTAGCAGTTCTGTTTTAGTTTGGTTTTTTTTAATTAGAAATTAAATTAGAATTTTAATTAGAAATTACTGAGATTCAGTGGACAGTCAAGAGTTTATTCCTGAGCTGTAATCATTTGTGTTTAATTGCAGCCCACATTTAAATTCCCTAGCCTAGAAATTTTAAAGAATGTGCTACTAACATCATGATACCAGGAGTTTACTTTTGCATTGATTTATATCTTGGTGTGGTGAAAAATAATTGTGAAAATGTGGCGTGTGATAGCTTTTCATTGACTCTGAGTTAACATCTGCAAATAAAGCATATTCCTACAGAAGACTAATGTCCCCAGTTAGAAAAGAAATCATGTTTATATATAAATTAAGAGAAATGTTTCTTAATTATGGTGTCTTCATATTCTGCTACTACTCATGTCTGCTAATCTGTTTTAGCTGTGAATGACTTCACATATAGAGTAGGCCTAGCTATGGTTCTTAAAGCATTTCAAGAAGTTTGATCTAATTACAGAGTTCTGAATCAAAAATTTCCTTCAGGTAATTCTTACAAACCATCTAAAAAAATTCATACAGAAAAGTTATTGTACAGAAAAGTTATTGTTTCATAAACAAAAAGCTGAATTAATAACCAACCATTCCTACCTTCCACAATTTAAGGCTATAAACAGGCCAACGTTGTGATTTTGCACAAGTCCCTGGCTGATGACTTTGAGAAGTTCTGCCATGCAAATGATGGACCCCTGCCACTGCTGTACAGAAGTCAACCAGGTGACTGGAAATGTCCTTCCCTGAGTAGTGATTCTGATATCAGGTAACTACAGACCAACTCTGCTGGCCAATATTCTGAAGTGAATGCTGGTGGTGATTAGGAGAATTTGAGGAAAAAGCCTGATTACACTGCTGAGGATTTTGAACAATGTTCTTTTCTTGGAGTTATACCTTTGAGTGAAAACCATGTATAACAGCCCGATTATCTTGTTCTTGAGCCATATGTTATGATAATTGTCAGTATTGCAAGTATTTCTCTAATCCAAAGGTGAAATTTTGTGTATTTTTAAATATTTTGCAGTCTGAGCCCACAGAATTCAATAATAGGGTTTTATATTTGTTTTATTTACTAGAAACATGGCCATGGTGTCTGTACAATACTTGTAGAATCTTTGAAATTTGAAAAATACACTCCTATGGTAAACACTAAAAACAAGGTTTAAACCAGCTCCCTAATTTTTTTTTTAAAGCTTGCAAAAAGATATGCATATGGAGCCTTTACCTATAAAACCCAAAAATCTCAAACTCTAACATTCTGTCTGCCAGCTTGGTTTTGTGCAGAATAAGATGTTCTGGGGGTTTTGTCTGTGTTTGTTTCATTATTAGTCAGAAAGAACAAAATGGATAAAGCAGGCTATATTGTGTGGTTTCATACTGGGTTTATGTCAATTCAACCAATTCATCTTGTTTTTAAAAAAAAAGTGACAAAGCTGTGATAACTTATTTCACTAGGACTGACTGCCAGCAGTATAGAAAATATGAGCATGGAGCTTGTACTGGGTCACTGAAAAGCCTTAAGGAGTATTCTGAACAACTCAAGGACATGGTGACTTTTTATTTAGGCTGCAGCTTCTCTTTTGAAAAAGCAGTCCAAAAAGCTGGCATTCCTATCAGAAACATTGAGCAAAAATGTAATGTAAGCATGTACAAAGTAAGTATATGCACACACACGTAATCTTTGTTGTAATTTTGCCTGTGAGTTTTGCCCATATTCAGATTAGGTGCATATACGTTGTTCAAATCAGAACTTTTTTCTTCTACCTACACAGCAACTTAAGGCATGTGCTAGTGCTGAGCAAATGAAAATATAGGGTAACATATTCCCAGCCTCAGTTCAGTGTAAGGCCAATCTGCTTTTTTATTCCTTTTTTTTTGTGACAAAGCTTTCCCTGTTTCCTGTAGCAGCCATTTCATGTGGATTCTTTTCTGGTTTTCCCTCTGTTTCACCCAGTGACCAAGTACTGTTCTGACCATGTCTTTACATGTGTCCTGCTCTCCTTACCAGCTCATGTTTGCAGTTGGAGTATTCCTTTTATAAACCGTGACAATAGTGGTTTTTTCTGCATGACAGCCACATTCTGGAGTTTTCCTGTAGACAGTAGAGCCTTTAAACTGCAAATCCAGGCCTCTGGGCCAGAAGATGTTCCCAAAGACTTGAGGTGCCTACCATAGCACTGAAAATTAAGACTGTGCCCAAAAAGTTTGTGGTGTACATTTTAATGGTAAAAGAAGTCTTAGAATAATTCTGGCTCCAGTAAATAAGCCCCTTAATACTAAGAACATTCAAGTATTCATCTGCATGCCTTTTTCATTTAGTTCAGATACTGAGCTAGTGTAGAAAGGTTAGTGTTGTTTTCAGTGTTATCATTACACAATCTATGCTATGCTCCTGGTCAAAATGACGGTGCAAGTGTATCTCATGGGTGAGTCCTTCTACCAAGCTTAAAGAAAACAAAATACAACTATGTATCTGCTTCTAGAATTTCAGAATTAGGAAAATTTTATCGTTTATAGCACATTAGTGCTGTGAAGAACTGCACAGTGTGTTTCTTCAGTGACAGGTGTGATTATTATTATCATTATAAAGGCTTTAAATGAACATTTTCTCGACAGCTCTAGCTCTCTGGATGTCTTGTTTATGTTCAACTGCAACTCAGATATGTGACATTTTTTCCTAAAAAGCTGACCTGCTTTCTTTCTTAATAGAGAAGGTGCCTCAGCCTCCCAGTTGGTCAGGATGACGAATTCCATAGAGCTTTTGTAGAGGCATGAGATATTTGTATTTGTATTTGTATTTGTATTTGTATTTGTATTTGTATTTGTATGGAACTGTCATGCAGCTTCTGTACAAGAGGGTATTGCCATCAGCAGTTGCTGACCCTGCCATGTTACCAGGCACTGTATTCAACTACAGAGGGTAGAGTCAGTGTAAGTAGATTTGTAGGTGTGCCATAATTTTCTATTAGCTTTTTCACCTTCTGTGGAGGGAACACACCATTGTTTTCAGACAATATTCAGTATACTGAGCTCATCTTTCTGTGTGCACCAAAACAAGGAATGCATTAAGCTGAAAACTGTAGTGATCTCACTTCAGAGTGCTGGAGCTAAATGATGGAATCTTAAAGGAAAATATACAGGATCCCAAGATTTTTTTTTTTTCAAAATAATTTACAATGAGTGTTAGAATGCAGCCTTTCTAAATTCAAGTGCAGCATAAATATTTAGATTTATTTATTCTGACATTTTAGAAGTATGGTTCAATATTCCTGCTAACACTGGATTCTTTTGAACTGCCAGACATCTGTGCCTTGCTACAGCATTTCTATGTTTTACTGCAACTTAGTAGTCACAATGAGACCTATTCCTGAAAGCAAGTTGGGAGCAGCTGTGCTAGCAACGGCAGAATTAAAAGAAGCCCATGGAGCACCAATTCACATAGGTGACCCTGGTCAGTGCTTTTCATTTCTCATTCTGCATACACCTGGCTGTGTATACAAGTGAAGGGGGAAAGCATGGGAAGTGGTAGGACTGAAATGCCTGCACCACTTAATCTGTTTTAAGCCTTTCTAATATTCACAAACCCGAATATAAAAGGAAAAAGGAAGAAAGAAGAAAAAAATTAAAATGGTTTTATGTGAGCTGAACATGCAGCTTTCTTAGATAAAAGATAGTTGTCGGATATAGATAAGTTATCTGGCAGGGGTGGTTTTGGTAAAAAGTGTAATTACAAGTTTCTGAAATGTGTGCAGTTTCATTTGTATGTGAATACTTTCTTGCTGTCAGAGATTCCAGTGACAGGATAGCAATGACTGACAGCATGGGGAGAAGTATGTATGGAGGCATTTTGTGTCTTAGTGGTTGAATGTAAAAGTAAATACTGCATTATTTTAAAAAATACTGAAATAGCATACAATGAGCACAACACTTAAGTCAAAATGAATAGAAATATGACAAGTTTTTTTTTTTAATCTAGTTTGAACAAAAATGAAAAAAATAAGAGAGAAGGACCTGTAATATGAAGATAGATTGCAATAATTTCCCCCCTGCTGTCAGAAGTTTGGTTATCATGGGCTACATACACAGCAGGATCACACTGCAGGGCATGGAAGGAGATGTCATTGGTTAACACAACACTCCAGTAATGTACTTGAGTAACATATCTGAGTACTTAAGCCTGACAAACTAGTAATAAGTCATTACAAAAGAGTAAATTAACATATATACAGATTATATAAACTAATTTCATAAAAGAGAGTGGTATATTAAAGCATCTGAAGAATTTAAAACCAAGGGAAGATAGCAAGTGCTTAGAATGACCCAGATTATTGCAAGTAGGTGTTAGAATAAAGCAAAAGACAATTTAATGAAAGTCAGCTGAAAGTGAAATGTATTTATCTAAGACAGAGAGGAAAAGAGAGATTGATCCTTTCTCTAGCTAAAGAATATAGGAAATTACCACAGTAGAAAATGTGTTCTAGAAAGAACTCATTTTGCATTGCAAACATTTATTCTTGTTTGCCAGTGCTATGAATAGAATTCTTCTGTTGATCCAGAAGATTTATATTATCTTGGAAACTCAGCATAGATGTCTAAACTGCATTTTGTTGCAGAAATAAGGTAAATACATTTTTACTGGTGTTACTGAGTAGAAAAAAGAGGAAATCAAGTCAATTCAGGCTCTGAGAATGTGCACTCAAAGGCAAACTAAATATTCCACTTTAGGGGAACTTGAACTTTTGAACTCTTAACTCGGTGTCATTGAATGATGTTTGGGGTCCACTCCCCCAGCTTTGCAGTATTACTGCTTAATTAGAATCACTCATTATTTCATTTTTGATCAATTCCAGGTCTGTTGGGAATACAAGATCTTTCTAAACCAGACTATGGAGATCCAGTTCACCTTAACCCTGGTGACATTCCAGTGTTTTGGGCCTGTGGAGTAACAGGAATAGAAGCAATTATCAACTGCAGTATGTGCTGCTTAGAGTCTCTTTTTAAATTGTCCCTTGATCTCTTTTCTCTCTCTCTCTGTTTTATTTTACTTTTTAAAAAAGGATACTGAATTGGCTGATTAGCAGGCTTGATTTTTGGGGAAGATAAAAAATACCCCAAACAACAAAAAGCCTTTGGCAGGAGAGTTTTTGTTGTGAAATACAGGTCTGCTTTAAAGAAAATTCTTACTGAAATTTCACCACTTTTATGTGTTTTTAATGTTTAAGTCTACAGCTCTGGCAATATCAAAACATCTTTTTTAGCATTATAAAAAAAAAAAAAAGAGAGCTTTAAAGGCATTAATTTTTAAGCTTCTTTCTTTTAAAATATTATTTTGTACTACATTGAAGTAAAGCAATAGTAAAGAAAAAAAAATAATTAATAAAAAGAGAGAAGCCAGAAATCTTTCCAAAATGTTGTCAAGAGCTAGCAAATTGATTGACATGGAAAAGTGTCATATGGAGAATGTTGAGCTTTTAGTTTTCTCCAAAATTAAGTAAATGTGACACACTTTACATAAGTGAAACTTTTTCTTCTGTACAGTTTTTATGCACTGTGTGCAGTCATTTATGCACGTATGAGCACAAAAGGAAAGAAAATGCAACAAAACTATAATAACAGTATTATATACTTCTCTAAGTCACTAGTGAGGAATGAAATACTCTATTTTCATTCTTACTGAAAAAGAAGCTTAAAAATAATAGGCAATATATTTGGGAGAACTCTGGGAGGTCATCTGCTTTGTCCTTCTCTCCTTACAGGATCCTTGTGGTTTCTTACAGATGTTTATCTGAACTTCTCTCAATACCTGCTCTAATATGTTCAGCTCTAGGAAGAGTTCTTACAATCTCTTTTTTCCAGTCCCAAATCCATGCTGAAAATCCTATTCTTTCCTGGGTTCTTCAGCAAAACTGTTCATCTTCCTCACACGTCCTTGTTGTAGGGAAAAGAGAAAAAAATTGCCGATGTCTCTCAAATCTGTTGCACAAGTGGCTGTCTATCCTGCCCTTGCCTGGAACAGACTTTCACTTTTGTTTATTTCTCCATTTTCTATATTTAAAGCAGTTGTTATTAGCACATTCCAGGAAATTTTTGGATAGTTTTTATTTTGTTGTGCTACATTCTCAGCTGGGACATTTAAAATCTGTCACACCACCAGTACCCATGCTTTAGATGAATCTGCTAGCTGGTTACAAAAAACCTGTCTGCTCACAGGGTTTGGTGAGGTATTGTAAACCTCAACAACCATGTTCCCCAGGTGCTTTAAACTGCTAGCCATAGAGTCCAAACAGTTGTAGCTCAAATGAAGCACATGTGTACTTAGTAGAGAAACATCTCCACTTTCACCCTCCTAACAAAGGAAGTTTTGCTTGTTTATGTATACCAGTTATGTACCAATTTTGCCAAATCAAGTATTACCTAGATTCAGACTTTTGGAATCAGTATAAAAACAGGAAATATTTTCAGCTTAGGAAGCAACTATGCTGTCAGGTCTAAAGAAGCTTATTTTTCTCCAGGGTTTTAGAGACTACTCGTATTTCTTTGGCTGACGCTTACTGATCCACTTTTGTCATTACTTGCCAGTTTAAATTCCCATGGTTTAACCCCAGCCAGAAGGATGAGGGAGAGAACTGGAAGGCTGAAAACTGGAAAACTCATGCATTGAGAAAAATATAGTTTTGTAGGGAAAGCAAAAGCCATGCATGCAAACTGAGCAAAATAGGGAATTAATTTACTGCTTCCCAGGGGCAGGCAGGTGTTCAGCCATCTTCAGGAGACCAGGGCCCCATCACAGGTCATAGTGACTTCGGAAGACAAAGGCCATCACAGCAGACCTTTAGGAAGGGTACCAGAGTTCATTCTTAGGTTGCCTCAAGTTTAGACCAAATAGGACATTGTGGAAAAAACTGATGTCACCTACACACATGAGCTTTTTAAAAGTGAAAAATTTTCAGCTGTACATAGATACATTTCTTTCTCAAAGTGTATTAATTGCTCAAATGTAACTTATCTCCTCTTTTTATAACTGTCATCAGGCAAGGACTCTATTGTTAATATTAAGTGGCTTTTTGAAATTTTATCAACCTATAATTTGTTACATTGCAATAATAACATTTAACTGAATTTTTTTCATTCATTTTAGGAACTCCATTAGCTTTTACTCATTCTCGTGACTACACATTCATCACTGACCTAGAGAATGACAATGTCAGATCCTTAGGGGGAGTCCCACAAGTCCACTGCATCTCTCAAGATCCTCTGCATTTCAGCATTGTGTCAGCAGAAGCAGCCCAAAAGATAAAGACTCTAGAGACCCTAATTGGAATAGATCCAGGTAAAACAAAAACTGTCTCCCTTTAATGGATTAGTTATGGGGTAGATACCACCTATCTGGCCTTTTAAGATATTTTAAATTCAAGAACACAGTAAAAATCTAAAAGGGATTAAAAGAATTCTTTATGGAATACAGTGAGTTTATATAATTAGGTCTTATATTTTCTGTTACTGTAGTTAATATCAGAGTCTGGCCAAAATCATTCACTGTGGACAACGGAATATCTGATCTTGATGCCTGTATGCTCCCAAAGTACACAGAAGCAGACTGGAGAGTCCACAGGGAATAAGAACTGTTACTGAGTAAAACTGAAATTGTATGTGAAGTACAGGGCACCTCAGCTTGCTGGTAACAGCTACATGGGTATTCACTATGGAGTACATAGTTCTTTACATATAGTCATGACTACTGTGGTCCTACCAGAGAATTCTAGTAGTTGCATGTGTTTTTCAAACACCACTCTCTGACAGGTGGAATTATATTAATTTCTGCTGACATATCCATCACTGAGGTGTTGTATGATGGACCAAAGTGACCAGGTCACCAAGGAAGGTTGAGCGGTGGGGCTGCCTGTGCATGCAAGGAAGAGAGGGAAGTAAAGGCACACTGAGTAGAGCAACCATTCCTAAAATACACACTGAGTTAGTCCCTCTGGCTGCTGTAAAGTCTGAGCTCAGTGTGCCATAAATGATCTGAAATCCTCTGTAGGCAGTAGTGGAAAACAGCTTACGCCCAGCACTCCCAAGCTCTGGGTCTGGGCTGTGTGCATACATTTGGATCTGTTTATTTTTACTCACAAGGCCTCTCCTTTCCCACTCTCTGGAGCTGGCTTGGCACGATACCATGCTCTGCAGAAATACAGAACGTAACTTAAAAGTTAGTTTATTTTATTGCTAAAGGAGAATACAGTACTTTGTCTCAGTTAATATACCCCGCTTCTCAGAGACTTGTATTCTGCTTATGTTAATTTTAAGTTTTCTGAACTTTTTTCTCTGTCCATTATCTGTGTATTGCCTGTGTGTTATTTAGAAGGAACAGAGGGAGAAATGCCAAAGGGGAAATTGAGGACCAAAAGAGGAAAATGTGGGGGTGAGGGGAGCAAGAAGGATGAGTCTACAAGGAGACTGAAAAACACCAGTGAAGACTTACCTCTATAAGCCCATCATGCTGGTACTCATGGTTTTCTTGAGTACTAGCAAATCAAAAGAACTGAGCTGTGAACTTTTTTCCAAGTGACAGGGAAGAAACATGGGATAGGAAGTGTTTGAATAATGAAAGCCATACACAGATAATAGTGTTGCCTATTTAGGGACTGACCCATGAGAAGAAACTTCTGTTAATATTCACCTATTTCTCAAGGGCTGATAACGTGGTTGTCTGCTACATGAAGTGTTACAAGAACTTCTAGTAGTCACCTAGCTACCACTGTATTAATTGAGTTTAGGAAACTTGCAATGTCTCTGAAACTTCACTTCTGAGATTAATAATTTCATTAAGTGAAATTTATTTGGGAATTACTTCTTCACAAAGGGGATGGAGTTAGATAGAGACAAAGGACCAGTTCACACATCTGAAGTCTGCATCAGAACTTCTGTAAGGTCTGGAATGCTTGAGTTGCAAACCAGCTTACGTAGCTAAACATAGCAGGACTGTCAAAAGAAAACAGAGGGCCCAAGGAAAGGAAACAATATGCAATAACCTCTCAGAAAAAGCTATTTACACTTATACTTAGAAATGCTAAGTATAATAATTTTCAAAAGCTGACATTCTTAACCTGGAAGCACAGCCCATTATCTTCATTACTCATATCCTAGATCTTCTTAGTTTTCCTGAGGAAATTACCCCAATTCCTGCCTTGACCAAAGGTTTTTCTCTCTTTTTTTTTAAAACCCATTTTATGTCACTAAAGTATGTACTTTCACCCAGAGGGAAGCTTCAAAAGGAGAGTGATACATTGAAGTGTACTGCTCTCTTTAAATCCACTCGTCTAGGAGAGCGGGGCGTAAGGCACCTGCAGCGCCAGGGTGAGCTGCTGGGGGCCTGCCTGGCCATGTCCCACGCGGGGTCCGTGCTGATAACAACGGGATTTCCCACCCACTCCACCCAGCAGCCGCCCGAGGAGAACGACGGCCCCCCGGGAGCCCTTGCCATTGCAGCGATGCTGCAGGCCTTGGAGAAACAGGTTGCCATGGTTACAGATCAGAGAGCCATGGATCTGAATAAAAAGATTATTGAAGAAGCTGTTCAACTAGGTAAGAGACATGGGTTTTTCAGTTTTTTATCTTGCTAATTTGAGCCAAGGTTTGCTTCAGTTATAGTCTGTCACTTAGTCCAGGACTTTTTTTCCTAGAGAATGAATAAGAATTCATCCTCTAAGCTATGCTCATCATTGCTACGATGACATTTTGTTAACCTACCTGGCACCAAGTTACTGTATACATACATATCTGGGTACTGATCCTGGATAAGTTGCTTGTAATAAATTTTGGATGTCTGTTCTTACTCTTGTAGACATGTTCTCTACTGCAAGGTCCCATTTAACAGCATTTACATCTAAACAAGTTTATAGGAAGGATATAGGGAGCTCATGAAGATCTGTGTAAAGACCTTGAATTCTTACTGTTCTAACAATTTTGCTTTCTTTTTTTAAGTTACTCAAAGATACATTAAAAAAAAAAAGAAGGAATATCTGAATTTCATTTTGCTTTCCCGTAGGAATCCTGAAGAAGCCCATCCCTCTATTGAGTTATCAAAGTGAAAGTGCCAATTCAGCTTTAATGTTTTTGTGTGAGAATGGGAATCCTGGAAGACCTAGGTATGTGTATTCAGTTTTTGAGAACAGGTCACACCTGTACCATGCAAAATTATAATAAAAATAAGAATCATGGTCTAAGAAGGCACAATGGCCGCAAGTAAATCCTTAAGACTTTGAATGCACAGAACAAACTTTGAAGCCAAACACTGTTACTGGAGCATACACAGAGTTCAGAATTCGACATTATTCTGCAATTATGCACTTCTGGAGTACAAAAAATAAACAATTCTTCATATATCAATAGTTCTTTTCCTTAAAAAAATCTAAAAGCTTTCAGCTGTTATTCTATAAGTAGATATGTACACACTATATTTTTTTACCAATTTTTAAATTAGAAGATCAAAAAGTATTATACCAAAGTCAGTGAAAGAGCTAAGAAAAGTGCTGTGGAAAGTGTGCATTTTCTAGAGCTTTAGCTCTAGTCTGACAGCTAGGGAATCTGATCTGACTTAATAAAATGTCATGTGTTTGTAATGATTAGGGTTAATGCACTGGAGACTTTGCTAAGTAGCTGTATGCTCATTTCATTACTTAGCATGCAACTTATATTTCTTTGAAGTAGGCATACGTTGCTCATTTTTATTGATCTTTCCTTGTAAAGTATTTTAATGTAGTTGCCTTCAGTTTGCGTTCTTTAATAAAAAGGTCTTTCACCCTGATATTTGCTTCATTAACTTACTGAATTCCCATTTCTTTCTGCAGGTTAGTATGTACTGTAATAGTATGCATGCTACTGTCTTCATTTTTATGTGTTGTTTTATAGCTATGCTTAATAAAAGTACAGTCAGATTCTATTTAAATTGGTCCCATAGTCCCAAAAAGCTGAAGTAAGTAATTTTTTTAAGTATACGACTAACCTGCTGAAGGTCTCAGGAATCACTGTAGATACCCACCCACAAGAACATTAAGTAATCAGAATTAGTAATCTCTTAACAGTAAAAATGGAGAAACAGAAGCAAAATAACTTAATTGCAGTTAAGTTAACATGCAGTGCAGAACTGAGTACTATAGTTCTACTTAAAATATAGGACAGCTGCAGTACATCTGTCTACTTTCATAACCAGCAAAACAACCATGGACTTAAAAAATAAATCCCCCAAATCTAAAGACCCAAACTCAAACATTGTCTAACTAGAGACAGATTAATAATTGCCAAGCAATGTACTTTGAGCAGAGAATGTATTTGCATTAACAAGGATTTTGATGATCATTAATTTTCCACATTTTTTCTTTCTTTGAATACACTTACAGAGACTAATATTTTACAAGATACCATCTGCTTCAATGTGAAACAGAGCCAGGCCAGATGGCTGACCCAAAGGATTGCTGGCTAGGAGGATTGCAGGAACTTCTCCATTTCTTGGTAGCAAATGTGGTTTGAGGGAGCTGCACTAAAGCTATTTAAAAAACTTAAACCAAGCTTTGAAAAAAAACCCATAGACAACTACACTCAGAATTAACAAAACAGTATCCAAGTTTTACCTTGAATCCCAAATGGTCAAAAAGTAGAACCAAGCACAAGCAGCCAAGAGAAGTATTTTTCAAGTGAAAATGACAGCTTTGACTTCTCCCTTCTGTTTTTTCATTCACTCTAACCAGATTTGATCACCTGGTAGCAATAGAGCATGCTGGGATGGCTGCTGATGGCAATTATTACAATGCCAGGAAAGTTAACATTAAACATCTCGTGGATCCCATAGATTTTTAGCTGCACAAACCATTCCAGGAATCACAACAACAGGTAAGTGTGACTTTGTGTGATGTTCTCAGAAGCAAGAGAAGCACAGAGCAGGAATTCTTTCTGGTAGTGAAGGGGAGGAGGAGACAGATGCTGAGTGATTGCTTTCAGGCTACAGCTCTTTGTTGTGATTGGATTTGAAGACACCATTGCTGGAGAAAAATTACAGGTTTCTATTGAAGGATTCTCACAGCCAAAAGAAAAAAAATATTTTATTTCAAAGTTATTTAAGGACAAAAAAGCAAAAAAAGCAAGCCCAGATGTATTACCTATACATAAGTCTATGTAAGTCCAGTTTTTGATAGTGACTTTATTCTGTATTTTTTGTTTTTAAGGCAACACAGAACATAAATGGTTGTTGGATGGTAGCATTCCTTCTTAAAGTATTGGGTTTATGATTGTTACACCTAAGTTAAAACAGCAGTCTGGATAGAATCTTTGTTTATATTGTCTTTAGCAGTACAATCCTGTAAGCAGGGATTACATATTTGCATCTATTAAAGTAGTGCCTTCTCCAACAAAATATGTGCATACAGCAAGAATCTTGAAACGAATGCCTTGTCGTTCCCACCAAAACAACATTGGCCTTTGATAATGCCTCTAATGAGAATGTTTTTGTCAACATGCTCCTCCTCTCTTTAGGCAACAAGCTTTTTTTTTTCTTGAAAACTAATTTATATCTGGTTTGGAAAAAATATGCCATAGACAATATCCGTGTACAATCAAATGCTTCCTGCTGCCATGTGTGGCCCAAATGAGACTTTTGGAGATATATAATCTCTGTAAATATTAAAATCAAATTAGAAAGAAGTACCCATGCCAGACTGATTTCTGTCAAATCATAACACATCTGCTGATTTAGCTTTTTTTCTTCTTATAGTGCTGTGGACTCACTCCTAAGTATTGCTGAAGGCATGGGCACTTAGACTTCTCAGTTTTGTTGTTTTTCAAATGGTTCCACAGAATTTAGAGAGCTTCTGCAGAGATAATGCATAGTCTGATTTCACTCTATTGGTATAATTTAAAAGCTGTGTAGCAGAGGACTTCACCAATATGTGTTATTATTGTAAAATTTACAATAATATTGCAAATTTTACAAACTTTGCAAACATATACAAAATTTACAAACTTTGTATTTAGATTTAATTAGGTTTTTTTTCCTATTCATAAGATGTACCTTCCAACATTCAAAAGGAAGCACTCTAGATGGCACTGTCTTGGTAATCTCAACAGAGGACAAAGATTGACAGAATAAGTATTATATAGGACAAGCTCTGTTTTGTAAAGATGTCTGACAAAATGCCTCAGAGCTTTATCTGCTGCTGTTAGTTTCAACTCCTATCCCTGATTTTAGGTTGTTGATGCAAGAATTTGATCTCTCCAGCTACTTACATAACATCACAACCTTATTCCTTTAGTAGAAATACCCTAATCTCTTCAAATATCTCCCACAGCAGCTCAAAGTATATTATTCATATGCTGGAGTTTGGAATGTTCTGCCAGCTGAGAATTTGAATCTATTCAGCAAAATGTAGCTTGTATCAAACATTCTCTGAATATTCAAATATACTATGAAATGTCATTAATAAAAAATACCACAGGCTTGTGAAAAAGAAGAAAAGCAGCTATTCAGATTCACGGTCTCAGTGCTGTGAACTTTATCTAAAGAGATTTCTGCATAGAAAATGGTTTAACAAGTCAGAGGCTTCAAATGACAATGAAGGGATCTTCTCTGATCTCCCATGGCATTCATGTAAGTGGATATTTTGCTTTGGAGAACTAACTGGGTATCTATAAGAATGTAATTGTTTCTTACATTGCCTGTTTCCTAGTTAACATTTCTTGTTTTACTTACCACATTAATTTTTTGTGTCTGTTATTTTAATTGGGTAACAATTTCTTGGGTTGGATGTTGGCTTTTTCAATGTGTTTCTGCCAAATGTAGTTTAACTTAGCCACTGTGGCCTTTGTGTTTTGTCTCCCATTACTGATAGCAACGTGTTGCTACTGATGAGGATAATTTTGTTTTCTGGTGGGGCTGTCTTCAGCTTTACTTTATGGTCAGGAGGAATTTGGAGGCATATGACTAGTTCCAGAAAAAATGCAAATATTGTACAGAATTAGGGTGGAGTACTTGAATAACCTTATATGCTAGAATACCAGAAAGATCAAGTTTTCAGCCTACAGAAATTCTTTATATAGTGTGCTCCGTGGCAAGAAGCACTGTGTCAGTAGGTGGAGAGGGGAAATGTTAGAACATTTGTTACATGCTGATTAATTGCTGTCAAGTGTTGCATTCAAAACAAGATCTGTATTTTTTAAAAAATCTGATCTGGTAGTTTGACCACAGACAAAGCATGAGCAATGCCTGCAATTGTATGAGTACTGACATCCTAAAAACTCAGGGAGTGAGGAGCAGCCTTGAGGAATTCACAGAGTAAGAAGACATGAAAGCTGAGTTTAGAAAGGACTGATTTTCCACATAAGTCTGAAATAAAAGATTAAGAAATGTTACTGGAACCACATATTATTTTTTTTAGCTGTCATACAATTGACATAGCTATATGCTATTTATATAGGAGCTAATTAAAAGCTTTCCAAATTACTGCCTGAAAAAATGGGGTCACACATTTTCCTTTCATACGAAAGATTTTTAGCACCGAAGACTGACATCTCCTGCATATTTCATGAATGTAGTTTCAGAAAACAATGTAGTCAGTGGGAACTTGCAGAGAAGATCCAGCAGAACTATTTTTCCTTTGCCTGGAAAGAAACTGGGCCTTTAAAAGAGGATTCATCTTGCCTATTTTCAGACATCTATATTTGAGATGTCTGCCTTGGGGTGAGATGAACTGAATGTGTGAAGGGAGTGTTTCTTTCTGCTGACTTTAAAAGCATACATGGCTCATGTATGGATGGCTGCGTTTGCACAGGTGAATTTCATTCTGGAGAGCTACAGTAAAGTACAGTTCTCTGGCAATATGTGGAAGAAGAAGAAAACAGATGGGACAGGAGACTTTTCAGTGGGGTGTTCTTTTCCTCCCAATGTCACCCAAATGGAATCCATCCACAGCAATAGATCTACTAATTGTGCAGCCATCCTGGTGACAGGACTCCCACAAAGACAGGAAAATCAAAGCAGAGTTGTTAGAAAAAGGCCTGAACAATGGATATAATTCAGTTAAAGAAGCTGTTGATTATTTTCATGGGACAAGAATTAATCTCAGCTTTTTTAAAGAATGTTAAGAGTAAAAATTTTGAGTATAAGAAAAATCAGAACATTGTGTGTGATTCTTAAAAAGCAGTAGAATTTCCATATTTATATATGAGGATAGAAGCACCAGGACTATATCAATACTTGTTTGAAAAGTACGACCAATAAAGAGATTTCTGAAAGCACCATTAACTCCCAATGGTGAAATAAATGGGAGCAGATTATTAAAGCAGATAAAAAAGAGTAGCTGTTCCATAGCAAATCCTTTTATGTAAGCTATGTGTCACTCAGTTACGCCCTACTTGACTGGATAGACTTAAGGAATCAAATAAGAATTGCTGCTGAGAAATAAGTTTCCATTTCACTTAAAGAAGAAATTTGCTACAGACACATGAGATATTTATGCAGTTACTAAAAGTGTTACATTTACCAGTTTTCAGGCCTTGAAGTGTAAATTATAAATATTGTAATTTCTCTTCTGTAACACATACTATGCATTAGAGCACAGTCATATTTCAAAGTCAAATGTGATACATCACAGTGAGGACTTGGAGCTCTTCTCTGTTGTTTCACAGACATGGTCAGGGATTTTTCTGTAAAATCTTAAAATTGAAAAAGAACCCATTCAACAGATGAAAGAGAAATTTTAATTTCCAACTAAATATTAATAATAATTAATTAATAATTATAAATAATAAATAATTTTAATTTGTTTTTTAATATCTTGGTAAGAGACTAGAGGTACTATCCAGCTCTTATGTAAACTACTAGTTTATATGTTACCCTCATATCCAGGTATCTAAATGATATCTGACAACTTTATGTCCCAAATATCGGGCTGCCCAGAATTTTCCTGATATTGCACAGATCCCACCGATTTTACTAAAAACCCTAAGACAAACATACAGTAAAATATGGGGTTGGGCTTTGTGTGCTGCAGCATGTTAGTCCTTGATGGGCAGTGCAGGCAGGCCTACTTCTGCCCAAATCGTTATGTATGTTTTTGCTTGTCTTTCTGCAATGATTGTTATTTCCATTCTGTTTTTTAAATTAAAGCTTGTAGCAAGCCGAAGTTTTCTATGCTTGCTTTATCGTAGAATTGTTGGCTGACTTCTCAGGTTGATTTGGGTTTAATTTTCCATCTTCTTTCTTTCTTTGTGCTGACGTATTTGTGGTAACACATTGCATGGAACACTCATGTAAGGCCTTCCATAAGCAAAGTTCACTGTCTTGATTATGTCTACAGTTCACAACCACTTGATAATTTTGATTTCTTTTGCATGCATGCAATGTACAGTGTACATTACACTATAAACTTAGAGGTTGCCATGTCATAGATGATGCTTTCAGCTATTTCATTCACAGTCTTCTGTTTTTAGGTGCTGTGGATGAAAAAGTATAAACCATCTCATATGGAGCTGTGAACTATCACAGCAACTGTGGGGAAGAAACCAGTTGTTTTCTAAAGGGATTGTCAGTTATATGCTGTGTTCATACTCATTTTGTCTTTTTCCCTTTTATAAAGGTGTTGGAGATGGAGGAAATTAATTAGGAATGGGCAAAGTAAAAGATGCTGTGAAGAAGCACATAAAAAATGGAGATGTTATAGCTTGGGATGTTGAAGCTGATTTTACTGTTGTAGCTGGTAAGGGATTTTTGGTGGGGTGGGAGAGTAGCTGGTGTTTAAAAATAGAACTCACAGGGAAACATTTGCCTTTCCAAATAATTTTTATTGGCCCTTTCCAAGTCATCCTCAGCAAACTGATCTATCTCTGTATTATGTACCTTTTCTGAAGAGTTAAGCACATGTTGCTTCAGAAGAACTAACTCAAAATTGAGAATGTTCCATGAACAAATTGCACTTAATTTGAAATAGTTTGGCAAATCATGTGTATTTTTGAATAATCACATGTTACATAAAATCATAGAACCATAGAGTCCTAGAATTATTTGAGTTGGAAGGGGCCTTGAAGATCATCTGGCTCCTAGTCCTCCTGCCATGGGCAGGAAACCTTTCACTAGACCAGGTAACAAATATTAATAAGGAAGACTGCAGAAGTGATCTGTGTGAGAATTAAAATGTCTGTGCACATACAGATTTTCAGTATAATTGATAAACTTCTCTTTAGAGTGTGCCCCTCTCAGGCATAAATTAGTCATATTGCCCCTTTACAAAGAGATAAGTTATTTCAATAATCACTCAAGGACAAATATATGTTCTTAACATTCTTGCTGTTCAGCAAAAGGTGAACGTTATAGTTAAAATTCTGCTTTTCACCAGCATGAAATAAAATTCACAGTGAGAAAGAATGTTCAGCACGGACCAACCTGTGAACTGGCCGGTCCGTACTGTCCTTGGGCTCAGGTTTCTGTGTCCCTAACCCGGGTGTCTGTGACACGCTCTGACATTGGTGCAGCCTGGTTTCATGGTGCCCCTCTTTGCAGGGGTCTCTAACTGGGGTGGCTACGCCATCGCCTGCGCTCTGCACGTGCTGCGCTGCTGCGACGCCCACGGCCGCCCCTGCGCAGAGCGGGCGGCCCACGCGCGCCCAGCCGCAGGCCCTGGCTGCCCGCGCTCCCGGCCGTCCCCAGGGTAACTCCTGGCCAGGGCGGGCACTTGCTCGTGGCGGGGAGATGGAAGTGGCCAGCAGCTGCTGCAGCCTGCCTGGGCCGGTTCATACCTCACCTTCTCAAAGTCTCTGGGCACCTCTGGGGATTGCTTGTGAAGGAGCAGCCACGCTGTCCTTACACTGTTTTCCACAAAGGATTCGAGACATTGCAAATAAAAATTCTCCATGTCTTGTAGCTTCAAGCAGAAGACAGTGCTACAATTTTATGGGCAATGCAAGAAATCCTTAGATTGACATACAGTGATTAAAATTCCCTGTTTGCTTCCTTAGTATTATTTGTGATTTGATAACCCTCTGTTGTAGTGTCCTTTAGATGTCTGCTTCCAAAATCAAAAGTTACATTTCTTATGTGGTGGCCACTCCATACTTCTGATCTTTGTACATTACTTCTGATCCTACCTTTTTTCTAGTTTGCTGGAACCTTTCTACAATTAGTTTTGAATCTTTCTAAATTAAAGTTGGAGAAAAACTTGTTCATGAATATTTTTAAATGTGTTTTGACTAATGCAGCTCTGTACAGTGTGATATTCTGGGAATGCAAAGGTTTCAGACTGAGAAAAAGTAAAATAACTGAGAGGGGTGAGAAATGACGCTGATCTGTGCTCATCCTGCTAAGCACGTGCCTCTATTTTTAACTTGACAGTGGTTAAGAAAAATCTGTCTATACACACACACACACACACCCCTAATGATTAAATAAGATTTGTTCCACAACTTCGCAATAAATTAGGAGCTTCAAGATTTCAAGGTTCAGCTTTATTAGGAGAGATTTGGACAAACCCTTTAAGTGTGTGACATCCAAGAATGCTAAGCAAAATGCAATCCATCTACCATAGCTACTGCCCAAAACAAAGAAGTTTTTCTCCTGAGATGATGGGACATTCTGCATGAAATTCCAACAAAGCACCTTTAAGTATTTTATAGTAGATCTCACTAATTTTTTTTCAAATTCTTGCTATCTTAGTTTTTCATCTAAATGTCATAAAACTGAAACTGATCCCAACACTTGGCATAGCCATATAGCTTAACAAAGCTTATATGGCCCTTTTCAGCAGAGTCTTTTTTATAAAACAGATTAATTATTTTTTTAGTTTTCAATGTTTTTCCAGTTGCATCTACTGGTTTTTGACCTTTAAATTAATGCATCCTAAAATGACTGTGATCAAAATTCCGGGTAATGAGATACTGTAATTAAATGTTATATTGTGTACAGGAAAATCTTCTTGTTTTTGTTTTACTAAGCTATACAGCTGGGAATATTAATGATCCAATAATGGGCTACTGAAAGTGCAATACTGAAATCTGTTGAGATAAAATAAATGGAAACAGTTTTGTGGAGGAGAGAAAATGACAAAATGTCTGACAAGAAAATATGGTATTTTTAATTATAAATCACATAACAATGAACAATGCAGAAGATCGAATACATTAGTATTCACATACTCCATTAGTATAAAAAAAATCAGACCATTTATGTTTATATGGCTACTTTCTGCAAAATTCAGCTTCATTTAACGCTATAATAATTACCCTAGTGAGATAAAGAGCAACACCACGCAGATGCATCTCAGTGTTTATACTGGTGATTGTAATTGAAAAGAGGACATTTGAAGGAGTCCCTTAGCACCAGACAGCTTTTTTATAATGTGTTTTATTTTTCTTCAAAAAATGGCACTTCAATGAATGCTGTAGGTCATAATTGCTAAGTGAAGACTTCCCCTGAAACACAACATTATTTCTCTTCAGCTGGTTCGAGCAGTGTCAGGACTGCACTGCCAAAGCCCAGAACTGCAGAGCTCTCCTTTCCCACTGAACAGCAAACTGAGACTGCTCTGAGTTCATGGATGAGCCTTTCCACACATCTTAGCGAGAGATGCTGCAAAGCATTTGTTCCATGCTGAGAACTGCAGGAACAGGAAACAACTGGACCTAAACAATCATTGCTTACCTTTACCTTTGCTTACCTAATAATTTGATTATGGTATTAGCTTGGTTTTTCAGGTGTTCGTACTACTTTAATACCAAAGTGGCTGTAATGAAATGAATTCATTCATACATATCCAGATGTAGCTAATGCTTAACATCCTACAGTCAACTCTGCATTTCATTGCATCTCACAGGCAGGTTAATGTATCAAGGATTTGTTCTTTTACTGAACTCTTTATTAATGGCAACATATTAGCTGAATAGTATTTTTTAATAATGACCTATAAGAATATGAAATATATTATAAATATATAAAGGTGTGACATATTTTATTTTTAGTATGCATTAGCTTTGTCATTCATAAGGAAGTTTTCCCCTTGAATAAAGGACAAACTAACGAGATATTCCAGTTACCCCACTCCCAACATAATTATTTACTAAAGAGAAAGCTTTGGTCAAGTTGCAGCACTGTACAGCTAAAGAAGCATGCTACACATTGTATTTGCTTATTACAAATGGAAACATGGTTTATCAGGCATAGTAGTTATATAGTATTAAGCAAGCAAACTCTTTTACCTCACATAAGCAGATCAGAGAGCTCTAATATGTAAATATGTAGCACAAACTTCATATTAGACATTACATTTTCTGTATCCAATTTAGGTATCTCTTTTGTGACAGGAGAGATCTCCTTTGTCCTTTTGCATTTAGATACACTCAGTGCTAAGAGAAACCTCTGTTGTGCAGAAAGATCAGTTGTATATATTTGCATTTATGTATATGATCATTCATATGACATAAACTAATGTATATTTATAATTTTATTAATTATAAATTAGCAAATTTTATACTACTAGTGTATCCAGATGATTTCCTTAAATAATGTCACTACTGACACCATTTAACTATGCATCTTTTTCCTTTAGTAGAAAACCAGAGCCTCATTTAATTTTATTGCAGCTAAGAATTCGGATGATTTACGAGGAAATAATAGACAGATCTTTAAAAAGTACATTCAGAGAGTAGGATATAAAATTAAACTGAATTGATCACACAGGGCATCCTTTGCTTCATTCAGAAATAATTATATTTTGGCCATTTTATCATTAGGTAAAATACAACCATATTGTGTCTCAATTCAGATCCACAGCTACTGTATTCTTTGTGGTTTGTTTTCTAGGAGTGTTCCTAGAAAAAATGCTAACATTTGATAAGAGAAAATTAGATAATTTAACTTTTTTTTTTTTCATCATTCATGTGTGTCCAGGAGATAAAGAACTTCTGCTACTTTATTGTGTGGTAATGTCAAATACCAGTGTTAAAAGTGTTAGAGCTTATAGAGCTCTTTGTCAAGGACACTGGTAGGATTGTTGCAGTAGTAATTTCCATGGAAATGGAAATGGCACAAAGACCAGAAAGGGCATTCCTAGTAAAGAAAGAGAGGAAAAGATAAATAGGTGAGTGTTTCAAGGTCTTATATAACCTATTGCAGGGTTGGCATAGGAGAAGCTAAAAAGTCACCAGGTTTTCAGTTTTCTTAGACTTTTATTAACAGAATTCAAGGAATAAATTCTCACTATAGTAAATGCTAAAAATTTGAAATTTTACTGTGTATATTTCATGGCAAATGAAAAACAGAGCAGTTTATGCCAGATATACATTCACTTGAAACCAGATCTTCAAATTTCACTGTTCCCGTGTTTTTTTCAAAGTTCATTTTATCCCTTCTTTTCATCTCACAATGCTAACTGGCCAACAGCTCACAAAAAGATGATTTTGTTCCCTCTGTGTACGTTTACGTCTCAACTTGGAACACACTTCGTTATCTGCTTATATTAGTTAAGCAAGAAAATAATTCCAGTTCTAAACAAAGCATATGCTAGTTCAGAGCATGCCAAGAAAGCACAATTTCTGAGGTTGTTTTCTCCCCACTCCTTCCCTAAGCAACCAAAATTCTCATAAAATCAATAATGAAAAGGGAAGAGAGGGCCAAAGGCACAGAGAGATCGGAGAAGCTGCAGGAAAGGAAAGTGAGTGTGCAGCCCATCCAGGTGTTCTCTGTAACCTTTTTTCCTGCTGCACCCTCCTTCTCTTCTGTCTTTTTCTATAAAACACAGCTGCAGCCGGCTGCCTGGCTGCAGAAACCACAGATGGATTTTTGAGATACTTTGGGTGGAGGTTCCTCTGATTCTGATTTGTGCAATATAGGAACTCAAAACCAAGCAAAAAATGATGTTTCTGAATTGACAGTAATGTTCTGTTTGAGGCAGTGTGGAGAAAAATAATATTCAGTCGTTAAATAGCAGTCAAAATTATGAAGCAACTGACACTCCCTGAGCTCCAGATGCTAACCATGTTCTTGGGACAAGATAGTACTTGCAAGTTGATGGCAAAATAAATATGAAGGATATGGTTGATCTCTCCCAGAATTAAAACACAGATCTTGATAACTGCCCTTATCTGATTCAGAATTTTAACTAAACTCTGTTTGTTTTTCAAGGAGGAAAATCTTCTAAAAACACTTGTGCAGCTCGGGGTCCGCAGTGGCAAAACTGCCAGTCTAGAGATGGAAGTGGATGGGCTGCCCTTCTACAGCACCCATTCACTTGTGATTGAAAAGCTGCTGCAGGTTGCACAGCAGTGACTGCCACTAAGGATTTCTACATGAAGAGTGGCTCCCATATCCCATGTTTTTGAGACTCTCTCAAGGTGTAAAAGATCAGAAAAAGATGACTTCTCATCTCTGGTGTCTTCAACCCACACAGCCTTGCATTGTTACCCTTACAACATCTCTGTGAAACAAGAAGAGGATATCATCCACTTGGTCTTTCTTTTCTGTAATTTTATAATGGAAAATTAATATTAATTGATATTATATAATAAGAGGTGATCTGGCTTTTACAAAGAAAGCATGAAATTACAAGGAGATATTATTGCACTGCTGTTCTTATTTTACTAACCTCATAACTGTAACAGGAAGTAACTTGCATAGCAACTTGGATTTAAAAATACTTGTGGTGAGGAAAACAGCTACAATAGAGAGGGAAGATTCAAAACAAAACTGCAGTTACTGTACTGAGAACCCCATTGCACACTTCCTCTAGCCCCCCTCTTACACTGTGTTCTTGTGGTGGGGGATAGTTTGTGGAGGTGTGAGAAGATAAAGAGAAAATTTTAACTGAGCTAATGAAAATAAGGGCAGCATTGCAGATCTTCTGTGTAAAAGGTTGGCTGTGCCACTACCCCCTGTCATATTAGTAGTTTGCCACTTACATATTTTGCCACTTTATGGGTAATAGAGAAAAGTTGTAGACATTTCAGAGTATCCTGCTGTTACAAGAAATTAATTGAATACAAAAATAATTATTAAAATTAATTATTAGAAATTAAAGTATTATTAGAAATGAATAAGCATTTGTATGCAGTATGAAATAACATTATGTAAACAAACTTTTACATTAATTCCTGTTGTAGAAATTCAGCTCCTGACAAGACCAAGTGAAGGAACATTGAATTCTATCCCATAGGATTACTAACACTGAAGCAATACATGAGAAATGGTTGTGAACTGTGCCCAGCTTTTGTCATTTAAAGCTGTAATTTTACCTTAACTCCAGGTGAGTGTCAGGACTACAGTTCTGCCGGCTGTCAGCCTGTCAGAGTCCAGGACATCCCTCTGGCTGCCCTGGCTGTCTCGAGACCCTAGCAGGGGGGTCTCAGAGACCCTGGCAAGAAGTGAAAAACATCTGTGGCTTTGGTTTTAGCCCGTGGAAAACTGCCAACTCTGGATGAGGAATTACAAGTCACAAGGGTTTTAGTGGTGTGATATTTGAACTAACACAGGGTGGGAAAGTAGAATTTGGGGATTTTTAGAATGGGGTTCAAGGGGGTACAAGATAGAGGAATTGGGGTGTGTCCTAGCCTTCTTCTTCTTTACCTTGTCCTCCATGTCTTGGTGTGATGGTGGCACTTTTATATTGATTTAAAGTAGAGATTCATGGTCTAAGACAGGTGATGGGAATTGGTGAAGAATTTGTAAACATAGACATGTAGTTTTGAGTATATAAGGTGGGAACCACCCAAGGCTCAGGCCAGAATGCCATGGCCTCCTTGCTAGCTAGAGCTCGGCAGGTCAGAGAGAAAATATTTTAGATAAGAAGAAATAAACAACCTTGAAAAAGCACAATTGGAAGCATTCCAGGCTCCTTCTTTGGCTGCATTTGGGCTAGGGAAGCAAAGACTTTTCGATCTTTCTTGGGGTCACCCTGACCTAGGAACACCGAGAGAGAAATCGTCATCAGCCCACCCAGCAGAGAGAGGAGGGGACATTTGACACCACCCCTAGAGCACTGGTCCTTTACCTGTCATAAAATGGAAGTTGCATTTAGTTGGACTTTCAGCAGTGAGCAACACTTTATATCTCTTTTCCTTCCTGGTAGGTGAGGTTTCATTTTCCTTCTTCAGTGCAATACAACTTTTTTGGAATGAGAAATATAATTTCATATCATAAACACCAGCATATTTTGAACATTAAACTCCTGAAGTCCCTGAGGATACAGAGCCTTTAAAGACATAAAACAGTTGAACACATGACAGAAAAAAATCTTAATACCAGACTTCTGCTAGACATTCAGGTTCACCAAAGATCCCAGTGTTTCTTTTCTAGATAGATGAGTCATTTTTTTTTTAGATTCGTTTTATCTAAAACTTTCTCAAAGGATTTTCTAGAAAAGTATCTTGGAAGTTTCACAGTTAGAAATATCTCCTTTAGATGTCTCCAAATTCTCTAAACTGTAAGTATTAAGTAAAATATTTCATATGAATACTTGAAATTTTTGCCAAAGCCAGTAACCCCACAGAATGGCATATATTCACTGCTGCACAGAACTCACAGAATGAAATTGGCATAATTTTAAAAGAAGCAGCTGATTCTATTCTCTCTGTGCCACTGACATGTTACACTAACAGGTGCAATGTTTATTTCCAAGCACTAACTTTTGTCAAAAAATTTCATTTAGTAAGCTTTTGCTCTTTTTTAACCCCAAAATACAAGTCTTAACAATAAGTTTTAATTAAAAATTACAAAATTTAATAATTTATTTCTCTTTTTCTCTAGTATGTGCTTTTAAAATGCCTTCTTTTGTGCAGTCCCAAGCACGGCATTTACTTCAATAGCATGTGTAGCATGTCTCTAGCAGCCTTAGCAGGGCCCTTGAGTGAATGTGTTTTGACTGAGATGGAAGGAAAAGCTCTGAGTGGGAGTTACCTTCCTGCTCTAACCTGCTGTATTGGTTCTGCAGCCTAAGCCAAACAGTTACAGTACAGAAAGAATTGATAAAATATTGTCCTCAAGAAGAAAAAGGGGAAAAGAAATAAAAATCCTTCCTTTCTGTTCCGGGTTAGCAGGTTTAGTGCTGAGAACTGTAGCAGAAAGCTGCACTGTGTTGCACAAGTTTCCATCTGATTTTAAACTGCAGCAGCTAACCAAAGCTGGCCACATCAAAGTTCCATCTCAAATGAGCCTTAATCCCTCTGATGACAATTCCATGTAGTACAGCAAGCTCTGCATTCCAGCTGTCTAATTTAAACAGCATGGGGAACTGTAAAGCAGCAACACATAAACACAACAACAAATACTTAATCCTAGAACAAACCACATGTTTTGCAGCCTGACAGGTCGTGGGGGTCCAAGGACTTGGTGCTTAACAATGTACAAGCTCAGCACTCCAGCAGTCAGGAGGGAGTCCCTGCCTTACATCCCCTTGGAATAAACAGCAGATGAGAGGAAAGATGAGGAGAAAATAAAGTTAAACAGTGCTAATAGTCAGGAGAAAAAAATGCAGATGTAAGGTAATTAATTCAGCTGAGTGGTCAAAGTATAAAGAAATGTAAAATAATTAAACAAACCAAATGTTAACCTAAGCAAACCTAATCCACTCTTGAGGCTGGGGACATGAATCCTTTCTGCAAGTGGAGGGAGGAGAGGATCCGTAGTCTCACAAATAGAAACTGTGCACCAAAGCTAAAGATCATTATTTCAAACATGGTGTGAAAAAATATAAAAAGGAAGTTATAAAAATATTCTTTATTAAACACATCCTCTAATTATATCCAAACACATACTCTAATTATATCCAATATTGCACTCTCAAGGTGGTTTCCAGAAAACTGTTAGAATATATTGCTTTTGGAATCTGATGACAAGCAAGGCTGTGTTACAATGACATATCCAGATAGCAGGAGTAGACCATCTGTCTAGACAATCTTTTGACTCAAAAGCAAACCAAGGAAACAAAACTGACAATACTGCTGGAAGTTATCAGCTCCAGGTTGCAGAGAGAGAGGTGTTGCAAGGAAGGTCTGAAACCAGAGAATTGAAAGGACAAGGCAATATTCATGGTGTAACAGCTGCAGGTAAAAGGAGGTGTGATGAGCAGATTGTGAAGAAGAATCACATAGAATTCATTAGTGTAACAAAAAAATCCAAGGAAACCTAGAGAGGAGGTGATGGTAGATACAATACTGTGGAGCACAACTCCCAGGTCTTTAAAAGCCATTATTCTTCACTTACTTCTATATTTTGTTTCTGTCTAAAGCAGGACACAGATCATTCATACATCATATTTCTGATACTGTATTTACTGAACAATGACCAAACCCTAAACTATCTTATCTGTGGACAAAAACATGGTTTAAACAGAATTCATTCAACAGTTTCCCTGACAAATGCAGTGTTATTTAATTGCCTGCATGGTCTATGCTGCACAAGATACACAAATTGCAAAGGACACAAGCAAAACCTTAGCAAGGTGCAGTAGAATTTAGATGTAAATAAATATTCTTGAACACACTGACTCAGAGAAGCACATGGAATCAAAGTGCCTCATGTACTACCAACCTCTTGCTCTCTTCCAAGTCAACAAACCAAGTTGTTGACACCCACTGGAGCCCAGAGTCTCATACTTCCAGAAGTCTCTAGGAGCCTTACAATGAGGTTTAACAGTCTGAGACTCAACAGTGAAATAAAAGCCTGAAGGTCTCAGCAGGTGCTGAGTTCCTTGTGAATGTTCTCCCATAATGTCTTGCACTATCAGACTGATTGTTTTAGGAATCTGGTTCTGGCATGGTCTCTGCAGGCTTTGAAACTTGCAGAAGGAGAAGTTTTTTCAGATTTACAGAGATGTTGCACAAGTGTTTTGTTGGGCTTTTTAGTTTTAAAAGTATATATGGAGATATGTAATTTTTTTGTCTCTGACCTTTTCAACAGATGATGACAGCTTGTAGAGAATTACTTTCTCTAGATGCTACAGGGGCAAACAGAAAGCAGCTAAAGATGAGTTCACCAGAACTACACACTGTGAGTACTGGCTTATTTCAGTCCGTGCAGTCATCAAGCCAAACAGGTTTTAAGTGGTAGCACAACAGATAACATGATTATAACTGAACTGACTTTCCTCACTGTTGCCAGGCTGCCAGGCTCCAAGCACCTCTAGAAACAGCTTCACTATACAGCATTGCTCATAAGCCTTTGGAAGGTCACACTGTTGTAATACATGAATAGTTCAGACAGATACAAAAACACGCCATAGCTGCAGGTGTAGGATTAAGGTCCTTTTGATTAATGCTATAGGCTGCCTACATTAGTTGTGAAGCAGTCCTTCATTCCAGAACCATCAAGTGGTATTTGTAATAACCCTGCTTGTTGTTCCTGCTGTTTTCTGTCGGGAGTTTCAGTAGTGTTTAGTGGATAGGATTCCTTCGTCTCAGTACTCAGATGGCTTAAACATGTTAGACAAGAGTCTCTCATCTTGACAAAGTTCTGGTAAGTGCTTTCACTGGAAAAACAGTACAATACTGGGTCAGCAACACAATTAAAAGTAGTTAACAGGAGAGAAATATGGTAAACATTAAATATTTTCTCAGCAAATGAGCAGTTGTTCTCCAACAAGCTACGAACTACAAGTAGGATGTGGTATGGTCCGAAGCAGACTAAAAATATGAAAACAGTGCTTGATACCAGTCTTTTAATTTGGATTTTCTTCTTCTTTTGAGTGCCAGGACTCTTGTGGACAACTCGTAAAATCCCACAGTAGGAGAAGGCCAGCAGAAAGAAGGGGAAAAGGAAGCCAGCAGAGAAGCGGTAGTAATTGACATTGTGCTCCCATTTCTTGATGGGGTAATGCTCAAAGCACACCAAGTGGCTCTCAGCATCCATACTGATCTCCCCGTGTGTGAAGACAAAGCAGCATGTCATAATTTCTTTGGCCCAGATAATGATGCTGACGATGGCAGCAGCCTTCATGGTCCGAAAGCGCTGGAACCGAAAGGGGTGCACCACGGCCAGGTAGCGGTCGATGGAGATGCAGCACAGGAAGCCCACGCTGATGTAGATATTCTCATACAAGATGATGCCACAGACTTTGCACAGCAGCTCATCGTGGGTCCAGTTGTCATGCTGTAAAGCATACTGAAGCCAAAAAGGCAAAGAAAATATGTACAGCAGGTCTGCTATAGTCAAATTGCAAAGGTAGACACCTAATTCATTTTTAGCCTTGATCTGTAAATACCCATAGTACAGTGACAGGCAGTTAGCTGGCAAGCCTAATACAAACACAAATATGTACACCACGGGGGATAATGTCTCGTGGATATCATGATTAATATTGCATTTCTCAGTAGCATTCTCTGTGAAATTCACCATCTTCTACTTCTCCCTGTGTATCACTCATCAGGGTCCTGAATATAAGACTTAATTACATTCAGTTTTCATGTAGAGTTTATTTCTTCCACAAACCCTTAGGCTGAAGTGATGACTTGCTGCAGGATGTTAATAACCTGAAGATAAAACACAAGGAAATCTTTAGAAGGGATAAAATTGTTAAATATATATTACACTTTTCAAAAAGTTGCCTTTTCTTAGCCCTAAGTCTTTGATAAAGATAAAGCCTGTCTGGGAAATCAAGATGCACATAACTCCTAGTACATAATAGAAAAGTGCCAGAAAATTATGTGATTCAGAATCACAAAGCAAGTTACAAATATTTGTTGTCTTAGCTTTGGAGGTACCTAAAATGTGAAGAAATATCATCTCTGGTCTACAGATGGGGCAGAAAAGCATTCATCAGATTTGACTATGATGGAAAAGGTGTCTCTGGTAAACCAGCAGTCCACACAGACTTCCTCAGAGGCTGTATAGTGCACAAAACTATTGATTAATTATTTCCATTTCTTAAATTTCCCTTCACATACAAGATACCATGTAATATGCAGTTCAGTTCAGTGGGATAAAAAACAAAGTGTCTCTTACAGTTACTTGTAAAAACAATCCTGAAAGCAAGCTCTCTTCCTGTGTTGGAAGGACATGGTGAAACTCTGGCACAGCGCATCTCCATGGTTTCAGTTCTACAGAATATTAAATATTCACCATCAACTCCAAACCCCACACATTTACAACTTTTACATTTGTATATTTCCCCTTCATCTTCACTGAATTTGAATGTAATTGTTTTCACCTGAAGAATCTGGTATAATCCAAACACAAACCCATAGAAGCCTTTGCTATGCTATGCTATGCTATACTGTACTGAACTATACTATAACTATTTAATACACAGAAACACTGCTGACAGTGGATCAGCACTCAGTTCTAGGTCAAGCCTGGGCCCAGCTCACAGTGATGAAACTCTCAACTAAACAGTGAAATACCCCATCCAGCATTTTATCACCTCATGGTATATTCACATGGGCACAGATGCTCAGCACTGGAGAGCAGCAGGGCAAACTGCCTAGTCTGAAGGAAATGCATGTTTTACCTGATGGTAACAGAACAGCAAGACTGTATTTCTTTCAATCTCTGCTCAGAAAATTCAGGGATGTTTGGTATACCATTCTAAGGTAACAATGGTACTCTTGTGTACTCTTTTCACAGCTTCATATACTATGGATTCAAAAGAAGCACAATCCAAAAAAAAAGGCCTTGCTGTTTCTTCCTTTTTGCTATATTAATTTGCATTTTTGTCATCATCTTCTGTCCCATCTAGGAACATAATTTTCTTTCAAGGCAAAACTTACAAAATCATGACCACACTAGAGTAAAATTAACTTTTGAGAATGTAACTGTCAAATTATTTTTTTAATACTTTTTTTTTTAATGGGAATAGTTAGGCTTTACTCCTGTAGAAACTGAAAAAAAAAAAAATCACTTGCTTTAAGTGCTTTATCACTTGCCTGGCTGAAATAAGTGATCAAACCTGCAAAGAATTTAATTTTTTAGCTTCAACCAGCATAGTTCCACTGAATTCACAGCAAACACTTACAAATAAGAATTGGGACATGGTTTTCGTCCCTTTACTTTTACTTTTGCTTTCCAACAGACGGAATACCAGCTCTGGTTTTGGTGGAAATATCCTTGGGAGTTCAGAAACTCTCAGTCATGAAACAACAGGCCAAGGTAAGTTCATCTCCCTCAAAACTTTTAGCTCAACTGTCCAACACAATTTGTGTGAAAGGCTGCTCAAGTCGAGCCTCTGCTCTCCTCCACCTCACAGTCTCAGCAGCTTCTTTGTGGTTTAAGACTCACACTCTCCACTGTGGCTGTCACAATAGTTAAAGCTCATTTATCAAGCTCAGGAGGAGAAATGCTGCAAAAGGGACCCAGTCACAGGTACCTGTGGTTCAGTTTGAAGTTTGATCTAGGAAATTGCCATAACCCTCCCCTAAATACAACAAAGTTAGCAGTGCTGACATGTACAGCAGAAGTCAATCACTAAAGTTACGTACAAATTTCCCCAACCACTGGTACCTAGGGGCCATTAGCTCCCCTGTAACACTATGCAGTTTCTCCAAGGCTTCATAACCACCACATATCTCTTCCATCTGCAGACAAGGGCACTGCACAGAATATTTGCTGAGGCAGGTTTGATAACCTTCTTACCCCAACCCACCTTTTCAATCCAGAGCTCCAGGCCTGAGTTTGTATTTCATAGCATTTCTATATAATCATTTGGTGTCTTTTACATGTAAGGGTTTGCCTGAACAGGATGATTGGCACACCTTAGTTATTCTCTAAAATACCTAAAATCTGAGACCTATCATCTACCAGCACAGTGCCAAGCCAGTGTCCAGCTCCTGTCAATTAGGCCAAATAGTAATTCAAAAGCTGTTAACAGCGTTGAAAATTCAGAACTGTCTTTATATGTCTATCACTGAGTTTCATTCAGTGTTACCCAGTGAGTCATTATAGATCACAGTATGAAGAAAAGCAGATGCACTTTACAGCTGTAGTGTTTTTTCAAAGTTTCTTTTCCTCTAAGAATTCTAAATGTTTTCATCAAATTATGTTTTCATACAGAGAATATAATTCTTTGTAATAAGTAAAATAATTTCTGCTTAGTTTAAAAGTCTTGCCAGAATACAGAATGTGAAGGAGGCAGCAAAAGTCTTACTGATACAATATTATGGTAATATAATATACACTTCTGATTACAGCAACATTTTCTGCTCTTGGAGGAAATGCTGGATTGGGGTGTTCAAAGGGGAAGGAAGAGAAGGTTGGCTGTAACAAATCTCTTTGCCTTGTGCTAACAATCCCTCCCCAGTTTCAAAGATGGAGATGAAAAAGAAAGATCCAGATTCTTGTGCAATAGCTGTCTTATACTGCTGTTCTGGCCAGTGGCAACAATGAGCCAGGAAATCCTTCCCTTATTTCAGCCTCCTCAGTGTGTGGGCTCTGGGCTGCCTTTGTACCCTTTGACCACTCATGCCTGGCTAAGGACAGACTCAGCAGCCAAATGGAAATACAGAGGCAGTTCAACTTTTCCCCAGCACCAGGCACACTAAATATAGCTCTACACCAGCCAGGGAGTGAAACTGTAGGATTTTTCCAACTAATCTGGTGTCAAAGGACTGCCCCAGCAGCTTTAAACCAATGGATGTGGAAGAGCCCATTCTGTTATTAAGAACATGTGACACAATACTTTACAAGCCATCTGAAAAAGTAGAAAATTAAGGAAAGGTGATGCAGGGTATATAAGAGAAAAGTCAAATAACTCCCCCATTACTTATTGGACACTTCTGTATAGAAGGAAGAGAAAAATTTAAAAAGTTGCTCTATGAAAAACATCTGGGGTTTAGACAATCATAAAGCTGCAAACAGTTACGAACAGGAACACACAGGCATTTCTTTCGGACAGCTTTAATAAGGATATAGTGCAGCTGTGTGACTTTTTTTTTTAATCATTGTTTATGATACCTTCAGTATCACAAGCCTGCAGTCATTTCCAGGCAATATTTCTCTCTCCTATATGCCCACATCTTTTAAATAATACCCATCAAAGCCCAAGTCTTGGCAATAAATTAGAAGACTTTCTTCATCTACATGAGCTCCAAATAATTCTCTTGTTCCTGGATTAAAAACAAAGCCAAGGATCCCAGAGTTTCAGAATGCCTCACTTTTTCATGGTTGAAAGAAGCCAACTTTATTACTCACTGGAGAGTTCAACAACAGTTCTTTCCCAACTCCTGTGTGCCTTAGCTGTTAACAAACACGACTTGCCCTGCACTATGAACCATGGGGCAGCTCACTTGTAAGTGCTGCCTACTGGCAATGGCACAGGAAGCAGCCAGAGCCACTGGCAGCAGCAAACTCTTCACCTTGGACCAAATAGTAGCATGGAGCCGAATTGGGTCTTTTCAATTTCAGTGAACACTGCTGCAGTTTTCCTTATAAGAAATCTGTATGCAGCTAGGCCTACATATTATTTTGGCAGAGACAAACGGGACTGAACCAAAGAACTTCCTTGCTGGAATTTGCAACCATTGTGCGCCCAGCTTGTCTCGTCCACAAAGCACCTGATTCCATTAACAGGGAGTGTAGCATGCTTGTGTGCCTGCATGGGCTCTTGCTGTTTAATCTGCCCTTGCACCTGTCAGACAGTGCAGACAGGCCTGAATCACTTGGCTCTCATTGCAGGACTTCAACTGTCCTGCAAATCGTGGAATCACAAACCTTGTGTGGTTTCATTTTAGGATTTGGTTCAGGTCATGATCTACACAAACACCAGCCCTAAATTCACATGCTAAGATTCCTTCAACACTTGCAGGTTTGTCAGATTGTTTTATCCTGTTTCACAAAACCTGGAAACGTAAGGCCAGATAAGAAGGCAGGGAAACAATGAGCAGCAGAAGAGACTAGGGACTCGGTGATCAACAGAATAGGAAGGAAAGGCATAATAACCCTTAGAGTAAGTGTGAAGGGAAAACGAATTTTAAAAAAGCAGAAATTTGGGTGTAGCACCAAGTATGAAGAAAGCACAATGATATTTGGGTTTAATCAGAAGAATTATGATGTAAAAGATGGACCTGTTGGAGCACAGAAATGACAAGAGGGGTGGAGCACTTCTCCTATGAGGAAAGGATGAGAAAGTTGGTGTAGTTCAGCCTGGAGAAGAGAAGACTCTGGGAAGACCTTGTTGCAGCCTTTCAGTACCTAAAGGAGACTTAAAAGAAACATGGGGACAGACTTTCTAATCAGGACTTGTAGCAAGAGGACAAGGGGCAATGGTTTTAAACTACAAGAGGGTAGAGTCAGACTACATACAAGGATGAAGATTTTTATGATGAGGGTGATAAAACACTAGCCCAGGTTGCCCAGAGAGGTGATGGATGTCCTAACCCTGGAAACATTCAGGGTCAGGTTTGATGGGGCATTGAGCAACCTGGTCTAGTTGAAGCTGCCTCTGGTCATTGCAGGAGAGTTGGACTAGAGGGCCTTTAAAGGCCCATTCCAAACCTGACCATTCTGATTCTAGAAGGGTGTCAAGTAGAAAGAGCCATTAAAGGCAATGAAAGATATTTCTATTAACAAAAAATTAAATAAAGGAAAAGAAAGACAAGTACATATGAAGCAAAACACAATTATATATTTATTTTTATAATATAGATTGCATATAGCATATATTTATATGGTATATAAGTATATTTATATCAAGACATTTTTGAAATATTTTGAAATATTTGCTGTTGTTTTTTATACCAATCTTTAGAACCAGAATTGTTAACCAGTGTCTAACAAAATTGTTTTTAACAATAGGATGGGGGCATAAAGAATAGATCAACAAAGGCTAAGAGATATTTTTAAAAACTACATGCACTCCAGGGGATTTAGTTACAGCAATCTGTGAATTATTGCTGGTAATATTTCAGAAATTATGACAAATTGGGATAAAACAGACATAACACTTTGTTTTGTGAAAAAGAGTCAAATTGAGCTTCTAAATGAAAGTAATTTACATCTATGCAAAATCCATTCAGTGTTTGTAACTTGCAAGTGGATTTTTCTTATGTGAACCTCTGAGTACAGTAATTATTACTCTGTATATGTGGAAGGGAACTATAAAAATGTTCTGTAAATTACAAATTACTTTTGTCATTATCAGGTGACTCGTCTTGTAAACCTATTGTCAAAAAAGGAAGTCGGCAACTTTTTTTGTCAGAAGCCACATAAACAAAAGACTAATTAGTCATCAATGCCCAATTTTTCCTAACACAGACATGCAATTTTTTACAGTCTTGAGTAAATCGTTCCATTTGCTCCATCTTTTGATATTCTGAGAATTCCATGTTCTGTTTCTATACCTTTCAATTTCAGGTTTTCATGATTTTGGACTTCTATGTTTTTGCCTGCACTTAGAAAGGGCAACTTGAGATGAAGAGCAAGGGAGGCAGGTAGCACAGTTAGTCCAGTATCATAGAATCATAGGATGGTTTGGGGTGGAAGAGACCTTAAAAATCATCTAGTTCCAACCATGGGCAGGAACAGCTTCCATCCACTAGATCAGGTTGCTTAAAGCTCCATCCAGCTTGGCCTTAAACACTTAGGGATGGGGCATCCACAGCTTCTCTGGGAAACCTCTTTCAGTGCCCCAATATCCTCACACTAAAGAATTTCTTCTTCCTACTATCTAACTGAAACCTACTCTCTTTGAGTTTGAAGCCATTCCCT